TGCTTCATGTCCAATCACAGCTGATCACTCGTCACTCGTTTACGATTTCGGTGTTTTTGCTCATCGTCATTCCGCGATATTGTCATGTATTTTCGTGGACGATCTGCTTAACACGAAATTTGTTGCATTTCAACGATAGTGTGGCCCACTCTTAAAGCATGATATGTAAACGAAGAACAAAAGAAGATGTAAATAAAAGTTTCTTTGTCTTTGTAAACCTCTAGGGCCAAAGAAATAAATGGCTTATCGTTCAAGCTTATGATCAGTACACGCGTGAACCAACATAACCTTTTATGAGTAAATAATTAACAACAAAGCCTATAAAAATGGTGTTGAATTCAGATTTGTGAATGATAAGAAGAACAGCAAAATCAGTGGCAGAGAGAGTGAGAAACGGATGTACACAAGGAGAAAGGAAAAAATTGATTGGCGCTTTCAACATCACTCGAAAACTGGCGATAACTTGGGCGACGAGCCGGTCGAGAGCAAGCCGAAATATTTACAGATATTTGTGAAAGACCACATGTAGAAGGACTGTATAATGTCAAGTTTGAAGTGATTTGACTCTCAACGAAACTCCATTTTACACTGCAAACTATTAATGCAGAGTTACCACGTCCACCAAAAATCTATTCGTCAATGGATGTACCGCACCATATTTAAGCATATGAAAGGCGAGCTGTTTATGTTGAAGTTATCACATGTCACTCAGTATTTAGAGAAGAATATGAATATAATATTTGAACAGTGAGAAGCCACAGCCGAGAACAGGGGATAAAGGCTACCGTAAAATATGTTGTCAAAAAAGAACAAATGCAGTCGTGTGTGTACTTTACCATATTTATCCAAATATTCACGCCATTCCTACGCCAAAATGGTTAACAACTATCCGACAAGTGGCTTTGTAATAAAGTGGAAAATTTACTGTTTCTTTATTTGAGTGATACATTGTATTGTCAACACGTATTCTTGACTTGCAATTCAGCCATGTTGGTGGTGTGATGCAAGAGAAATTTTACAGGGCTATTGTTGGCACCAGCCGACGTGTGTGGGTGACATTGTTTTGTAAATCTCAAGAGAACGGTTGCAAGTCAAGAATTGTTGAGCTGCTGAAACAAATCTGTGCAGGTTAACCTCGGTGAAATATTGGACACATAGCAAAATTATGCAAACATACTTTTTTCGACGTCCACGAGAGAATAGATCCCATGGCTAGAAACTTTATTAATGTATTGCTGTCGTGTGACCAGACTAACACTAAATGATGATATCCTACAACGAAATGCTTTTCGATAAATCTCTAGTGTTGTTGTGAAAATGTCATTGGCTTGAAAGTTGGTGCTACTAATGTTTGGTTTGTTTTCTTGATTGTCACTTGACGATGTAAATTTTTTTTATCATACTTCAAACATCTACCATAAATAGACTAAATTTTCCATATGTTTCCAACGCACTCACTGGTCGAGTGTGTAGAGTGAGGTTTCTCTGGTTGTGATGTGGCGTTCGAATTCTTCGAGGGTCAGTCGGTTGTAGTTGGGCCTTGTGTGTTGTGTATATGACTAGCCATTAACGAGAGCCGTGAATGTTAAGAAAGTGCAATTGACAAAGTAAGCAAAAATAATAATATACATAATATGTACAAATAGCATTTATATTGGTGGTTTTTCGCGAATGGAATGCGACACTAACACGCACACAATGAAACGTAAACGGGATTTGTTGCAAAAATTTTGCCCTAAAAAAACTAAGTGTTTCGCTCAAATATTTCTATGACTACCCAAAGGAAATCATTTTTTTCATAATCAGGAAACAGAGGGCAAACCGAACGCTCTTTCACATCCCCTCCTAACCTCAACCTTGCACTCAATCCTCAATTTACAACACGAACTGACGATGACACCGGGACGAATCAAGAACCTCGTGCATTGGAGGTCAGACACACCCTGTTGAGCCAATAGCTCAACAACGAATACTATCGGTTTCCTGGCATATTTCCCTGTTTTTTTTTAACTTTGAAATAGAATTATAGGGCAAGGAAAAATATCTATGAAAATAGCCTTTTCACGACAATCTTGAATGGACAAAATTGATTAAGGACATGCGCATCATGATCCTGATCCACCACATGTCAATGCATGACATTAGACATATTTTATTCCTCTTCTTTCTTCCTGGTAAAGCATTTATTGCTTATAGTGCGATCAGGAAGCCCTTGCCTTTAGAGTTCTATTATGGTGCCGTCGAAGGCATATTCTAGACACGTTATAAAGCCTTATGTAATGAAAGGCAATAAATGTTGTTCGGTAGAAGCACTTAATATGTTGTCGTAAAGTATATATCTCTCTCGCTTGGCTGAGAGGTACGGATGACAGATTGGTGATCATTCCTTCTGGGGTTCAAGACCGTTTTGTTCTCTTTAGCTTTTTTAGAGTTTAATAGTACGTAAATAACTAAGAGTAAAGTCATGGCTATTATAATTGCACCTTCTAAGATTCATAACCACCTTGTATAATTCTATTTCAAAGTTAAAAAAAACAGGGAAATATGCCAGGAAACCGATAGTATTCGTTGTTGAGCTACTGGCTCAACAGGGTGTGTCTGACCTCCAATGCACGAGGTTCTTGGTTCGTCCCGGTGTCATCGTCAGTTCGTGTTGTAAATTGAGGATTGAGTGCAAGGTTGAGGTAGGAGGGGATGTGAAAGAGCGTTCGGTTTGCCCTCTGTTTCCTGATTATGAAAAAAATGATTTCCTTCGGGTAGTCATAGAAATATTTGAGCGAAACACTTAGTTTTTTTAGGGCAAAATTTTTGCAACAAATCCCGTTTTCGTTTCATTGTGTGCGTGTTAGTGTCGCATTCCATTCGCGAAAAACCACCAATATAAATGCTATTTGTACATATTATGTATATTATTATCAACCCGAGATGCATACACATCACAACCAGAGAAACCTCACTCTACACACTCGACCAGTGAGTGCGTTGGAAACATATGGAAAATTTAGTCTATTTATGGTAGATGTTTGAAGTATGATAAAAAAATTTACATCGTTAAGTGACAATCAAGAAAACAATCCATACATTTGTAGCATCGACTTTTATACCATTGAAATTTTCACAACAACGCTATAGATAAATCGAAAAGCATTTCGTTGTAGGATATCATCATTTAGTGTCAGTCTGGTCACACGACAGCAATACATTAATATACTTTCTAGCCGTGGGATCTATTCTCTCGTGAGACGTCGAAGAAAGTATGTCAGCATAATTTTGGTACGTGTACAATATTTCACCAAGGTTAACCTGCACAGATTTGTTTCAGCAGCTGTACAATACGTGTTGACAATACAATGTATCAATTAAAAAAAAGACGCAGATGGAAACAGTAAATTTTCCACTTTATTACAAAGCCACTTGTCGGATAGATGTCGACCATTTTGGCGTAGGAGCGCCGTGAATATTTGGATAGATATGGTTAAGTACACATACGACTGCATTTGTTCTTTCTTGATAACATAGTTTACGGTAACCTTACAACTGTACTCGGCCATGGTTTCTCGCTGTTCAAATATTATATTCATATTCTTCTCTAAATACTGACCATGTGGAGCGAATCATTTGTTCTTTGAAAACATTTGTATAGTCATGACAATGTTTTACAAGATCTGGTCGATATGATAACTTCAGCATAAGCAGCATGTCTTTCATATGCTTAAATATGGTGCGGTACATCCATTGACAAATAGATTTTTTGGTGGACGTCGTTGTAACTCTGCATTAATAGTTTGCAGTGTAAAGTGGAGTTTCGTTGAGAGTGAAATCACTTCAAAACTTGACATTATACAGTCCTCCTACATTTGGTTTTTCATAAATATCTCTAAATATTTCGGCTTGCTCTCGACCGGTTCATCGCCTAAGTTATCGTCAGTTTTCGTGTTATGTTGAAAGTGCCAATCAATTTTTCCCTTTTTCAATCTTGTAATCTTTCATTTCTCCCTCTCTCTGCCATTGCACTTGCTGTTGTTCTTTTAGTTCAAAGTCTGAATTCAGCAGTTCTTTTATAGGCTTTGTTGTTAATTATTTAGACATAACCTAAAACCTAGTCCACGGTATAAGAGATATCATAAAAACTGACGTCGTTTTGATTTAGCCATATTATCTATGGTGCGCAACGTCTCCCCTGGGTGTGAAAGAACAATAAAATTTTCGCCGTATTGGATGACATTTCCACATTGCATGACAAAAACCTTTGTCAAAAGCATTCAACTTGACAGTCATAACGTACTTGAGCACATTAAGACCACTTAGTGCGCATCTCAGACGTGAGTCGTTTAAAGGCAAAACGTGAACAGAATGTTATTAAATTCAATAGATTTAACTTTCTGAATCGTTATTGAGAGTGTGTCCTTTACAATCAGTGGTGCGTCCAGTCGGGTATGGCACAAACGCAATGCACATGACGCACAACACAATTTATAAGGAATTGATCTTTAGTGATTTTGAGGCACTGAAAGGAATGGATCAACTTGAATAATAAAGTATTCGAACGAACTTAAAATTTTTAATGGTTTGAGTTTCGTCGTTCAAAACCAAAAAATACTCACCCAGCACTCTACCTCGTCTTCGTTTTCAATTGCTGCTTTCTTTCGAGCATTTTTTTTTTACTATCTCTGCTTTGTCATGTGTAATGTGTGTGGTATCATCTTACGTCATTGATACATTAAAAACTTTATGATTTCGGTCCTTTGTGATTGCCAATTTGCTTTTAAAGAAATCAGTCGGACAGAACTGAAATGAAATCTCACATTCCCCCTCCCCCCTTGACACAAAAACGTTATAGTGATTTTCAAATTTATTAATTATAATTATATACTATAGTCTTGAAAACACCTATCTTTTGCTTTCTTTCTGTGTTTGTTACTTATAAGCTTCAACAATTCCAGGCTTATGTGACCAGCAAGATACTCGTACATAAACTACTATTAAAACGACGACCGGTATACAGATAAGTCTTTATTTCAATGCAATGCGTCAAACGTACGGTTCTAAACGACAGAGTATAGATATTAACATAACCGACAAGGAGGCCTAAAGCCGTAATCATCGTTACCTCGTAATTTGGCCACTAAATATAAACATCCATGTACAAAAAATACACCACTATACATGAATTGTGCTCAATCTCAAAAAGACCCCAAGAACCATGCTTTTATACGGGTCCCTTCTTGTTTTTCATAATAATTAGCATAATAATTAGCATAACCTAAGCTCTATGCATCTCGATCCTACATTACTTTTTATCGATACTTTTGTATTTTTTGTGTTTTATAATGTAAACATAACCAAACACTGACTGTGACACTGAAAAGTCCAACATGATAGGAAAGGAACTCAATGTTCTTTCTTATTAACACTATGGTGAAAATGTTAAACAGGGTTGCCTCGGTTTCTTTTGTTACCAAAGGGACATTTACCAACGTATTTTCTTTATAAAGATGAAGGATTAGTTCCAAATACCTCTAATCAATATTAAAGCTATATTGTACGCCTTGTTTCCACACTTCATTCTTCCAATTCACAAAATTTCAATTCTAGTGAATGGAAAAATTTAATGGCAGAATGTTTTCCACTTTAAAGTTGACAAAGGCCACATAACTTTGAGGGAAATTTTACACAGAGAGTAGTCATCTTGTCTGACTGTTACACCATGAATTCTTGAGACGCAAGTAAATTGTTTGCCCTCTCATTTAACATCTCGAGTCTCGTTATTGCTGCCCCACAGTTTATGCCGTCGAGTGATAACAAAAACTCGTCTTTTCATTGCGTCGGACACTCAGCAACCTCTTTACACTAACTTATGTATCACTGATCAGCCAACAACAACTTCGACAAAAGTGAAAGTTAAACCACAGAATAAGAATATACAGAAGAGTCACTTGTGTCGGAGCCTTTGATGTTTTTGTCCTCGCGCATGTCGTGCCGCGCATTGTTGTGGCCACCATTATTCCAGCCAGTTTTGGAAAAATTCAAAAACCCTAATCATCTGGCTGGAATAATGGCCGACATGAGGACGCGCTGTACACCTGAGTGACCCATCTGTATAACCATTATTCTGTGCTGGTCCCATAAAGGCTGATTTCCATTCAGTGCTAATTGTCGCGCGATCAACTTTTTGCGATCACGTTCCTTTGAATTGTATGCAGCAGTGTGAAATTGTTCCGGTTGAGAGCTTACAATTGAAAAAAGTGATCTCAAAAGGTCGATCGCGCGACAATTTGCACTGAATAATGATCAACTGATGACAATGGATAAAGCCGCCATTTTGGTGTTCTAAACGAAAGAACTTCATTAAAATTCTTTTTATTTGGTACACCAACCTGGTTGCAATGACGTCAGATGAAAACAATCTACAATCATATTTTTTTGTGTTTAGCGTGTTGAAATGAAATGTCTCACTTCCCCTCTCCCAGAAAGGCAATGATTCAAGTTCATGCGAGAGAAAGCAATGGAGACTGTCGTGAAATATTGAACATGCATACTCAACTATGGATCGTATGCAAGACTTATAAAACTGCACTAATTCCATTTCAGGTTATCCGATATGTTGGGTGAAAAAATAAGCACTCCGGTGGAACATGAATAATAAACCCAAATTCAAACCATTTGCAGAAACAAGAAAGTGTTTATTTATTATTAAGGTTATTGCATTAGTTGTTTTACATAGTTTATTTGCTACAAATTGACTAATGTTCGCTTTGAAAGAAACTGTCTTAACTGTAATTTGTTGAGGTTAAATGATAATAGGAGTATTATTAGTAATAATAAATACATACTCTTACATTAACAAGTAAATCAAATATATAAAATTACAAATCGTTTGATCCTTGTTCTAACATAAATGGTAAATATGTGGAGAAAACTAACTTGATGTACGGATTTTTATCTGATAACAAGGCTAATTTGCAGATGAAGTACATACACATATTATAACTAAATATGTGTATGTACTTCATCTGCAAATCAGCATTCGTTTATGAGTACCTAACCTACAGGACGCGAACGTACGTGTATCTTAATATCACCTGGGGATATAAAATGTCGAGATGAGTATATTGTCGATTCTTGCGTTGTTCCTGGGACATGAACTCCTAGTCCAATAGCTTGGTCTTTATCAGGGCAACCTGTCAAAATATATTAAAGGTGCACATGATTTTTCTCGAACTAGATCCAGGCGCAGTGCCAAAGGGCGTACTGGGGGGGGAGGCTTGAGCCTCATCACTTTTCCCCAAGATAAAGTTTTTGCTAACATTTATATAATTTAGCCTAACTTGGGGCAAAGTAAGACGTAGTAAATTTAGTAAATATAAGTCGTAGCCCCTCCTTCAGGTTCGATTTCGGGATGGCGTCCCTGAAATCACCATGTGATTAAAAGTCTCACAATTATAATCGTAAGAAATAAAATTGCAACATTTGCAGCAATTTTTGAAGTCGAGAAAGGAAGAGCTGCCTGCTCGTTTACATTGAAAAAAGGAAAAATAAATTTTTAAGAAGTTATATCAGAAAAGTGATCCTACAAGCCACCACCCCCTCATCAAATAAACGCCTCGCGAGTTTGTGTTAAGCCTCTCTCTCCAGAAAATGCTCCGTCTAAAATAGACACCTCCCTTACAATTAATACTACGCTGATGAATATTATCATTACAGTGGGGGTAGTCTATTGTGCTCGAAAAATGAAATTTTCATCAGTTTTGGTTGCTCACATGACGTTAACACTCGATTAATCGCCTCGTGTCTATTAAAGGCCCCTGGTCTGCGTTAAAGGCAATACAAAAATTTTGAGGGGGAATATTCTTTATTTCATGTTTGTGAATATTCTTTATTTGCTTTAGCCGAACTAAGTATAGTGTATGTGGTGTTTATTATTTAAGATATAGAAAACATATTATAAATCAGCTCATTTATTTGGTCCAGCTATGTTTACTTTTCCGTATTCCGTCGAAATGAAAAAATTATATTTCTAATTTACAATAAATGATGCATAAATGAATAATGAAAATGAATAATCGAAAGAATGAATAATAAATAATGAAATGAATAATGTAGTGATTTTTTTACATAGGAGTACTGAAACTGGTTGCTCGCTTAGCTATTAATCTACCTGGCTTCTTAAGACTCACGATGCCCAAACGAGCACGCACAGATGTGGAATTTCCAACATTGAACCCGGCTTCGTAGCAACCATGAACAAAATTGAATTCCCTTCTCAAAGGTTTAATGACAATGGCATCTAACCAAAATTGAGGATTCGTGTTCAATATTCTCTTTTCGAAGAAAAGACTGCGCATTGAAGGGGCTTGGACAGAAATTTTGAAGTCGAGACCTCCAGCCTGGACACAAATCTCGCTAACGTTTGTGCTCCAAAACATGGGATTGAAGGCAGTCTGTTTCACCCCTTTTGCTGTCCATATATTCGAGTCGTATAAAGTATTCTAAAAAAAAGCAAATTTCGTTCCGATAATTGGTTGGAGAGATTAGGCGATTCCAGAGAGAAACTTATGATTGGCATGTCCCTACCACAGAACGACTGTCAACTGTTCTTAGCTTTGTCCATCCATTTCCACGGCATACATTAGACCTGTCAATGGATCTTTCACACGGTGGTTCGTTTTTTTCGTTGTAATAGCCAAGCGAAGTTCTCGCCTTGATGTAAGACATGTTTTTGAAACTGCAAAAGAAATAGAAATCTTGAATTTTGCTGAACGAAAGCAGATTTTGCTTGCAGAAGAGCACATGCAAATTTATGAAAGTTTCCTTTCATTGTCGTTAGTATGTCAATCTTTCAAGCTGAAGTCGAGCATGAATTTGTACAATGAATTGAAATATACAAAATGTGATCAATCATTACTTTAGAAAATGTGAGAAGTTAGGGGTGCTCCATCACAAGGAATTTTGACCTTTGCTTTATATGATAAAGGGATTTTCGTATGAATGTTTTTTATGCAGTGCGGTATTTGAAATTAAATGAAGATATGATCTTCGCACTTTGCTGGACAATTTAAGCAATCGTCTCAGGACCTGAAAAAATCAGGTGACTCAACGGGATTCGAACCCATGACCTCTTCGAAGAGTCACCTGATTTTTTCAGGTCCTGAGACGATTGCTTAAATTGTCCAGCAAAGTGCGAAGATCATATCTTCATTTAATAAAGGGATTTTGTCACTCAACACTTCAGAACGAATGCAAGAAATTCGGGGGTTAGTCTAAGGAGGCTTGAGCTCCCAAAAGGGCTTTGCATTGTATCAACTCTCCCTTTTTCATGCACAAATTATGAAGCTTTGTCAGTTTAATATCATAAACTATTTGTTTATGTTTTTCCTCGGAAGTCATTTAGACAAACTCGTCAACTATGCCTCTTGGTATAGCTTGCACAGAAAAATTCTAAGACCTTTGCCTTGTGTCGCACGGATCTCGCAGCGTTCTGAGTTTTCCCATCATAATCTAAAACACTTAACACTTGGTTGATAAGCGTCTTTTGACAGGTTTATTTTATCACAGCATGTGTCGTGTAGAAAAATTTATATGAAGCAACACGAGATTTGCGTATCAAAAAACCATTAAATCAAGAACAGCTCGGCAGTACATTTGTAGATGAAAGATTGCGCACATTTAGTAATCATGCCATTCATGTGCTGCTCATATACTGATCATTTGAGGTAATGATATTTATATGCACGAAACTTAACAAGTGTTAAACTTTCAATAAAGTTTCGTGGTAAATACAAAAAGGTCTGATTTCATTTGTGTTTGATTTAACGAAAATACAGCTATAATGTTCTGTATCTTGTCTTGTAGATTAAACTTTTAATTTTCTTAGTTCTAAATTATATGAGCAGCTAAATAATATATATCCACAGCAATTTTGTATACCCTAGTCTATTTTCCGCCTCAAATAGACATTCTTACAACATTTGTAAGAATTATATTCAAATATTGAACAGATTAACTGTTGATATTACACTCTTCTCTAATGGAAAATGATGAAGCTAGTGAACTAAGGAAATTTTCCTCAACACAATACTACATTCAATAAAAAGGCGAATAGCTTTATGCCAGGTTAGCCTTGCTCTCACCTGCATCCATTTAAATGAAAATCGATGCAATCGTTGTAGATGACGATTTCTGCAAAGAAATGAAAGCTGTCTGTTCTAGCAATTTGAGAAATGCGGAGTCTGCTATAATTACATTCAATTATGTTTTCCTTTGACTGATTATAGGGATTAAAGATAAAGCAACGATCAGTGGCAACCAATGATGAGAACATTCCTTGCCACATGACGTCTGCAAAGTGCTATTTGAATGCAAATATAAAACATAGGTGTGATGCTAGGGGGTAATGATAAGTAAGTAAAGTAAAATTGGTAAATAAATAAGGTAAAATACAAAAGCCTTCATAACACCATATATGAAAGATAAAGACAAATTGTGTAAATTCTTCTCCATAAAGATGATATTTAACTTAAAACTATCAGTCTCTTGCTGTCTCTTGACAAAAAATAAACTGCAACGTCAGTGTAAGCATGATTGACGACATCAATCGTTAACATAAAAAATGACGTTTCTCCTTTATTTTCAACATAGCATTTCAAAAATAAATCGTGGAAGGTATATAAAGTTTGTTGTTTCAAAATGCTTTGCATGCTCATCTTCTAACGTAAGAATGTATGTATATTGGAATAGCATTTTCAATCAGTTTCACTCGAAAAGCCGAATATAAATCGTTTAACGCACTAAGTTGTTGCATTAAGTCATTATGTATTTAAAGTCTGTCTCGATCGTAAGTAGTTTCCAAGCAGCTACGTTTGAAAAGTATCTTAAACTTTTTGGCATCTATAAATACTCTTACTGCTAAATCCTCATGAAAAAATCAAAACAAAAATATCCTGACAATCAGAATAGCTATATAAATTTCCTGTCTTACCTTTGCCTTGTGAGATCAGGATGACACTTAAGAGCCATAAAATTGATGTGATGGCCATTATGCTGATTTTTGAAAATCTCCAGATGACGATCAGCTCAACTTAGCTACTTGGACGTACAGTGAATACTAAAATTCTTATGCGCTTTCTAGTGGTCTCGCTGTTTCGTACTGCTTTACGACGTGCTGTGATGAATACTAAAAGAAAACAACTTTCCATAAATATGATATTTAAATACAATTGGTTCACACTTTTTTCGATCCTAAAAAATAGATAACTGTCTAGAATGTTTCAAGCGGAAAACATAACAAATGCTTGTCATTTTTTAACTATATGGGTTTGTCACCCAAAAGATTGAGATTTGAAAAGAGATCAATTAAAGCGATAAAAAAGAAAGTCATTTGAGAACTGCATGTTTACAAGCATTCTTTGTACAACACATAAAGAATGTCTTGGCCCAACTCACTTTCACTAACAATGAGCTTGTTTCCAGTTTCGAAAGGTTGTCTCAGACTTCACTAGGAATTGACATGTGTTACGATTTTGTATTTTGAACAGTCTCTGTTGACGTTTATGAAAGATCATAAAAACAATTTGATCAAAAGATAAAAAGCTATTATCTATTATCATTGATGCATTCACGTATTCGATGATGATAGAGCATTTTTCAAATTTTCTTGTGACCTTCTAAATCGTCAGTAATCTTTAACGAACGGCTAGTTACGGCAAACTTCTATTTGCAAAATCAAAATAACAGAACTTCGCATTTTCTATACACATTCTGACAAACCATTTGCCTGGGTGAGAACAATTCATCTCACCAGTATCACATTGACAAAGAACATTTGTTCTGTGGGCTGAGTTAGTATTAATATTCACTGTCCTTAAAATGAGATATCATTAACAATTAAGGATTTATTGATGTTTGATTGTTTTAAAAAACTGGCTTAATGATTTTGGTCGCGAGTGGCCGTTTATGATGGAAATAATGATTTATTTACAGGCATAGAAAGCTTTTCTTTCTCTTGCGTGGCAGATACAAGCATAATCAACATACGTGTCATGACACTGTAATTAGTAATGAATTTGCCTTTCAGAATAGAATTTCATCAATTTGAAGTGTTTTCAAAAATAAATACAAGAATTACCTGTGGTCATATTTATTGAATTATGTTGAAGGCAAGCCGAAGGCGGAAGTATGCCGTCATCAAACTTTACAAAATTAACGACATTATCCGAGATTATCCTAGACTAGGTTAGCAAACCAGTAAATAAAACGTCTTCAAATTTGTTAGACCGAAGGAGGAACTTGTTGTATGATAATCATTGTCCTGAGAAATTGCGAACTCGACATCAATAAAATAATAAAACTTCAGTTTTCGATCGATACAAAAAGTTAACAGCGGAAAGAAATATAGATTTGATAACAGTCGTGTTCCTATATTTGTCAATGTTTCATTCCAATAAGACACGACACAACCTTTACGCGCTTCAAGATACTGTTTTCACTGGGACATAGTTATTTCCTTGAAATTATAGTTGGACCAGAGATAACATTGTATAAAAGGTTATTCGTCTTTATTTAAGCCAAAGACATATAATTTTTAGGTTTTTGATAATCTTTAAAGCCATTTGTTGCAAACTACTGTTTTCACTGGGACATATTTATTTCCTTGAAATTAAAGTTGGACCAGAGATAACATTGTAAAAAAGGTTATTCGTCTTTATTTAAGCCAAAGACATATAATTTTTAGGTTTTTGATAATCTTTAAAGCCAATTTTTGCAAACTACCGATTGAAACAAGTTACAACCTGCAGATGTGAGTCCAAGTTGTACATGACTGTTATGAATTGTATAAACACGAATGTTGGTTGTTCTGAATAATCTGTTTTATGGGTTTTAAACTATGGATAGCAAACTGCAGGTTGTATATAATTTGTGTTGTAGTTTGTAAACTGAAGCTGTTACGGGTTGAAAATAATGAGGTTCAAAGTTTGCACGTTGTGGTTAATATGGGTTTTAGACCACGGATGTCATGGGATAGAAATTGTGGATGTTACTGGTTATAAATATTTGGTGTTACAGGTTGTAAACCAAGCGTATCATAGGTTATAGACAATAGGTGTTATTGATCGTAATTAATGTGAGTCACGAGTTGTAAATAAGTCGAGTGTCGACAATTGTAACCAACGAGTTGAGAACTATAAACATTCTTGGCGCTTGTGAGTTCTACATGATGTAGTGTATAAATAGCTAAGCTCCTTTCAATTAAATACATGGCCTTAAAGAGTACGAAAACTGAATGCAAGAAGTAAAGGTCTAAAATTAACAAGACTGACAAGCATAACATTCATTACTGTACAAGCTAAAAGCAAGAGATGCATTTCATGTATGTTCAACAGTTCAAGCATGCTCACGTAAACCGGAAAACTCGAAAGAAAACTCTTAGTAAAATAGAAGTCAACATGGCGGATCCACAATTACTCTGACGATCTTATTTATATACACCGGGGGTCTAAAGTCTGAGTCCAGTCTACATTTTATCTAAATTTCTAACAAAAATGTTTTGAGAGTTTGGAAAATACGAAATGTTATTGGAGCATGCTCATATGGGACTTTTGTTGTCAGTTACTGTTATATTAAGATAATCATATAAATCCGGATCAATTAGTGTTCCTGAAGAAAGGATGGCAAGAAATAGGAAGTCCAATAATCCCTGAATAATGAAAGCTTTTCACAAGGCAAGATTGTTGAGAAGACAAGTTTTCAAGGGGCGCTGTGTAAAGAACCTTAGAAAGGTTCAGTAAATCAGAATCTTTTTCTACCAAACAACGATCTTTGAAGCCAAGAGTCACCACTTTAAAAGAAGATTATTGCATGTATATGAAAAGAAGCTGTACAGGTCTATGTTAAACGTCGACAGAATGTGAAATTCGTAACTTTTTGGGTTGAATCGAGATGTTATGAATCAATGTTGAAATAGTTTACTGCATTGTTTGCGCTTTCGAATCTTCATGCAGTGACAAATGTGTTAATAATAAAGAATTATAAAGACTCAGCCCCATGATTGCACTCAGACTTTTGGCCCCAACAGTATTTATTTTGAAATGTACTCTGACTAATTCTGCATCCATTGTTGCGTGTAAGTCATATTTTTTAGCAGTAGCATGGCTGCTGGTTAATTGAGTCGTTCATTTTATCAATTTTGAATTTAAGTAAGCTCGCATTCGGCAAAAAGAATTAAGAACATTCAATGAACACAAATTTCAAAAATATGGTTTCATTATTTTTCTATAGCGCGGTTAGTAAGACATTATTTATACAGAGCGATAAGCCATAATCTCTTTGTATGTAGAGCATGCTATATCCATTCAAAGCTGGCTTTCTTAAAGTAGTGTAACGTAAAATGAAGTCTTACACGACACAAAATATTAAATATCCACAAACGTAATATCGTGCCATGCTGATTATATATAAGTCTATGATTTAGTGGAAGATTGATTCATGCATATTCTTCATGAAACTTCAGGCTTCTTAAAAAACAGTTTGTGAAAATTAAATGTGATGAAGATAGCAATGTAACCAAAGGTATTTTTGAGTGCTATATGTGCGTGGCTTTCAATTGCATTACGTTGCTCTGTAATTCTTACATGAAGTAAATCTAGAAAATGTGGCGTTTGAAAGTTATTGTACTGAGAAACAGTCGGAGAGTTGAAATAATCATCTAAAATGAAAAATATAAGACACCAGCTCTGACTGAATTTCATAAGTTAACAATAGTCATCTAACTAAGCAATATTAATTGGCACCATCCGTTCGTCTCACCTGTGAGACCATAACTTGAATTGAAGCGCCAAATACGTTGCCAGACGAAGTACAATAAAAAATCCTGCCAAAATGAAACAATTCAAGTAAACTTTGGCACCCTCCATTCCAAATGCATCTTCCCGAAACTCCATCGTTTTCAACACGTCCGTGCTGTTACGAAAGATACATTGATGAATCTCACAATCGAGCGGTGCTCGATGGTTGCCGTAAATAACGACGACGATCCCTTCCCAGCTATACCTCGCGTACGAGATGTATGTGAGCCATTGCAAGTAGTTCGGAATGGTTCCCAAGCTCACAAAAAATCCACTGAATAGTAGGACCGGTATGCCAGTTATTGGGGCGACATACACAGCTGTCTATATAAAGAGCCATTTACAATTTTAATGACTGTTTTAGCTCATACTATATAGATTTTAGCTTCAAGCAATCTGAACTCAGTCAAGATTGTAGGTCAGCCTATACAATGATCTTCAAACAAACAAGGGGAGAACGCGTGGCTCAGAAAACTGTCTTGTTGAAGTCTTCATTTAAAAAAATCTGTAAACATTTCAGGTATTTTGATACCTGAAGTGTATCAAAAATGCATTGTAATGTATTGTATTTCTAATGTATTTTAAAATGCATTACGTTTGTGAAAGCTAGAGCAAGATATTGACGAAATCCAGCGCGAATATAAGTTAATAAGATTTGAAGATGACATGGAAATATAGTCTGTTAGAGAATGGAAATAAGGGTATGCCTCGTGTAGCCATATATATTTCTTCGTAAAAACTTTCAAAACGCTTGTTCGTTTTTTTGCTTCAAACTTTCAAAACGCTTTCAAAAGTGGTAAATCAGATCACTCTGTACACATACACAAATCAAAGGATCTCAGTGAATCCCAACATCACCAAATTTTGACTCATACAAAATACACTGTACGCAATATATTTAGTAGAACATACCGACAAAGTAGGCGCCAGTGCTCCAATGAGCAGTCCTATCGACTGAGCAACAAGACACGTCAGAATAGTTATGGTCAAGAACTGCCAATATCGCATGCCATCATATGGTTGTTCTGTCATAAAGTACACAATGGGACAATAGATAACAGGAAAAGCGATCTATATAACAACAAATATCATTTAATATAACCTTAAATTTCGGATGCTTTTTCAAAGAAATTCTCTCCAGTTTATCAAATGCCATTTTATATAAGTAAATTAATAGAAAATCCAACCTGGAAAGGAAGATCAGCCATGGTCTTTGCTAAGTAATACGATTTCAAGCTGTACCAGTTGTTAAGATGCTCTCGAATAAACACCAGTTTTTCTATAGGAACTGAAGAGAAAAAGTTAAGTGTGAGTAACCACTCCAAATGTTAATCGAGGCATCACAACAGTTTAACAAAGAACCTTGCAAGCGTCACTGGAAACTTGCAACAGAAACATTAACAGAAGAATCACTCGAAGCTTGCAACACAAATATCAACAAAAGCATCAAGTGTTTTGCCTGTAGCAAACATACGCACATGTAAGAACTGTTGGCATTAGTGCCGTGAACATCAAAAATAGAAGTGAAAAGAACAAGCAGCCGGTGTTGTTGAACACTTTGTTGCCATCATTTCCAATGCGAAGATACATCAAGCCAATGAGAACGCCAAATAAAGTTACAGAAACTACACGAAGATGAGTGAATAATCGATCTCTCAGCAAGGACTGTAATGCTCGCTTGAACAAAACGTTGAACTGAAAACGTAGAAAGTTTTGATTTACTTGCATTTTCTCACCAATATTCACTCATAAAGAGTTTCCACAAACGTGTTTTTACATACATGTGAAACAATAAGGAGAAGGGTGGAACATGCAATAAGGGTTTGATGCTGTTAGGGCGAAGGATTTGGGTGACAACACTACACTTGCGTATTTTATTATTTTGTCAAGAGACAAGGGTTCCTTGTCGAGAAGTATATATTATTATGGAACATTCACACCAACAGCTTAATTAAAAGCAATGACAACCGTCATGTGCATCTTTGACATTATTTAGGTCAACGAAACTCTCGTAACAGGGATTGGCGACTGGTTTTCTACTAGATATTTGAAAATACCGAGGTTTTATAAACGATAGATACAAACTTTACGCGTTATAGAGAAGGCCTTTGGCATTGGCAGAATGTCGACCTACATGTAATAGAATGAGTTTCAAGCTTTACATACCTGTGATAGTTGACTAACACCACCAAAGATACTCTTTTTCTTTATTTTCATTGTGCATGGAAGAACAGACCTCATCACATTTTTGAAGTTTGTACTAGCGCTACTGCTTGTAGAGCACCTTTTAGATTTCATATTTTCGGCCACATGTGCACTCCATGCTTTCGCCAATAAGGGAACCGCATCTCCGTACACTCCAGAGGACACTTCAATAACTAAACAAAATGATGTATTATTAATAAACAAAAAAACTAAATGTCAGGCTGCAAACATATTTTCGTTTGAGATAACACCATCAAGTCGTGGTTTCACGACAGATCACGACAGATCACGACTTCGAGATCTCTAACATTCATGCAAACTTAATTTCACAATACAACCGTTTAAAGTGCACTATATAACACGGTCCTTTGAAATAAATAGCATTTTCAATGGCAATTCTCTGAACAGAGCCTGAATGGAAACACCTCCAAACTACGTTTATGATAAGTTATTACATATATAAAATGTTAAGTTCAGTTCGAATTAGGATTTCGGGATTAATATTTATTGTATTTTTTATTATTTTGCCAATCAAATTTGACTGACTGTGGTATTGGTTAAAAGGACTTAGCGAAATTCTTTTTTCGTGAGTCACACAAATGGCAAAGCACATTTTCCTTAGCTTCTCTAGAATTACACGAATTAAAAACTATAACAGCAAATATTCTTAGGTAAAGTTAACTTGAGACACAATAATTATCCAAAATTTGCTATTAGAATTAGTATTGTCTATGCTTGAAGCCAGTAATAACAAAAGAATTACAGAATGAATAGAGCATGACATACATTGCCCCATAAAATATCTTTCTAGTACTACCTGAGATGGAATAAATTCTCTACACACATAAAAATGGTATAAAATTTAATGACTTGAAATTGGTCCTAGCAGGAAATTGAGGAGTTCACATTGAAAGGATTTCATAGCTGCATCACGAAAGCTTAAAATCGATATACTTAGTAAAAACATAGACAATTTGTTACCATAATCTGCAGGGTTATGGTAGTTGGGACAATCCAAGCCTTGTTTTGTCAAGTATGGCAGTAAGCCATCCACTGTTCCTTGATAAACGCAATTTCCGTCAGCTAACAAATAAAGCTAGAAAACAAATTGTTCAAAGAAAAGTCGTAAAAAACCTACAAATAGTATCATGCATCGAATAAAAAAAGCACAGGCTCCCATTGGGGCGTTGTATAAAAATTGTACTCCATCTTTAACAGTAGGAAAGCAAGCAAACTGAAACTGTTCTGTGCAAAAGTTTTAGGTCACTTCTTAGCTAAAATACTCCGGAATATTTAATGAAAATGATGTATTCTAGATCTCTCCACAGTTTTACACATTTCGCATGTTACATTCGACTACTTGGCGAATTAAAGTAATTACCTGGATTAGCTAAAAAGTTGTTTTGTCGAATTACTTCAAATTTTTTTAGTACACTAGAGCCTGTATTGAGCAGTCAATCTTGTGGATTTCTTGTATGACCGCTTATCACAGGTCTTCAGGAAAATCACCAGACATGCTACATGAAGTATTTAATATAACTAAAGTTGAACCAAACGCCATTGTTCCTCAACATACATGCCAAATAACCCAGAACAACTCATGTAAAGCAATAATTCTTTTCTTAATAGTAAATTTACTATTTGCTAAAATGTCACAGCTAAAACTGATTAAAAAATAATCAAAGGAAAGCGTGTCAACGGAGGAGGTAGTTATAACTTAGAAATTTCGCGCAAATATCTCTTGGAGATATGTTTTTGCTTCAATGGCTGAAGGCAAAGTTAACGAGAGAAAAGTTCAAATTGCTGACCGTTTAATACAGTTTCAAATTCAAACAAGGAAAAATTAAATTTGGAACATTGGAAAAGGTGACCTCGTCCGCTTAATAGAGGTGACCGTTTAATAGAGGTTAATTCAATAGTATTTTTACTTTAATAGAAACTTTTGGGACTTTGCCATATGACCGCTTAACGCAGGGGCACCACTAAATACGGTGCCGCTTAATACAGGTTCAACTGTATTTTACTTTTATTTCATTATTCAACTACCACTAAGAGCAGTGGTTACTGCAGCACAATGACTAAACATCGACGCAAACAGCATACGTGTTTTATCGACATTAACACCACTCCATTTTTCAATTATGGCAGTTTGACTAATATTCTTCTTCCAGCGATAAGCTTAAAAAATTGATTTTATCTGCTTTTCCCCCATTGCTCCACCACTAGTCTCTTCACTCTTTACACTAAATGCATTCCCTCCAGCTCTTTGGCGAAGCCCCCATTTTATTGTAGTAGAAGGTAATTCTTTTCTTATGACCATTTTGAACTTTTTTATGTTGACTTCTCGTTGTTGCCCGAGAAACAGCCTTTTCTATTCCGGTATCTTAGCCTTTCCGCAACGTTTCCATTCTTCAAAATTTCTTTAACAGCACACAGACCTATCTTCGGTTTCTTTGCAACAGCACGTTACATTTTTACTTTTCCGGAACAACTTTAGTTTGAGTATTTCAAAGTCATGTTTTTTCACTTGGCCAACTTATCTTCCGACTATAGTTCAACTTGTCAAAATATTTTGACTTATATTGCAAAACTATGTATTTTTTACTTCTGCTATATATGTTAAGTATATAAGAGCTATCTCAAAAATATAGACATTCTATATTGACAAAATAAAATTTTTACTCAACGTATCAAATACGACAAAATCGTGATAAACACACACTTAAGTATTAGATAGGACCTAAAACTTTTGCAAACTACTGCCCATATTTTGCATTGAGATCGGCCCGGGAGCAAGACCTTTAAGCCTTGCCTCACAATCTACATTATTTGATCACCAGAGTACAACAGGAGTGTTGCGATAACTGCAATCAAAAGTAAAGGACAACAGCTACATACTTACTTTGTCAAATCTTTCAAATAATTTTGCACTTGGTTGATGTATGGTACATACAACAATACGTCCATTTGAAGCCAATGTTTTCAAAAGGTGTATACACTGGTAGGCTGACGAACTGTCCAAACCACTGCGATAAAACAAAGATAAATTTATAGCAAATCGTTTAATAGATAAAAACATCAATAATGAATGTGAAATTACGAATCATCATGACAACAGCAATAAGAGTATCTTCCGAAAAGTATGCTCTAGTCGTTTGAAAGAAAGACAAAGTGGAACTTTGGTAATACAGGAGGCGAGCAACAATGAAATTATCGCCCGGACAAAAAAAGGAAGTTATCAAAACATAGGAATATATATGGTTATCTTTGCACATTGAGAAAAAATGCTGGAGGCAAAATTTTTTGCAGATGCTCTACGACGTAGGGTTTAAAAACTTTCTCAAATGCAAAAGGCTACTCACACACAAACCAAACATCTAGAGCATTTAAAGCATCGGAGTTTTTTTCTCAATTCACTTTTATTTGGCTTCCTGATTGTGACATATTTGTCACATGGTCATTAGAAAGTCCGTAAGAGGTAATCTTCAAAAAGGTTGGAAGATTGTGGGTCCCCTCATCACGACGTCCCTGTACATAACTTGACATTTATCAAAGCCAGCCATAATCTATAACTTCCCATAAATTGTAAGGCTCTCTTTAACGCATTTCCTATATACTCCAAAACATTGCAGTTGTGCAAATGAGGGCATGTAAAATGATAGGACGACAACCATGCTTCGCATAAAATAATGTACCTTGTTGGTTCATCAAGGAAAATTATCGGTGGATTATTGACAAGTTCCAAAGCAATGGCCAGCCTTTTGCGTTGTCCGCCAGATATATCGTTACATCGAGTGTCGCGAAGTTCCACTAAGCCCAGCTGACTGAGAATGTTGTTCACCTTTTGAAATTTGATCGCCATCATTAAATCATTACAGACTCACAAAAGACGGTTTATCACAGGGGGATCCTCTAACCAAGGGGATAATCCTTCCATGATGGCTTATCCCTTCGTTAGTGAAAAATATTGAAGACTATTTTTACCGCACCCAAGTTGATATTCAGGTAAATTTTTTCATATAATGTCTCTGTTTTAAAAAAATTTCCTTTAAGAAATTTTCCTATATTAGAATCTAATTAAACACTGGACATTGAGAGGAAATTTCAAATAAAAGTGCGTCTGATAATAGACCATCTTTAACGGAACCGTCTTCAGACATACTCTTAAGACAGTATAATTTCCTTGAAAAATAAAGTAAACTCTCGTCGATTATAAACAACTTACAATAGCTTTTTTCGCTTCTTTCGCCAATTCCTTCTTCAAGTGAAGAGAAGCTGAAACCTGTTAAACACACATATAACCTTCTGAAATCTAAAAATTTTCGTAATCCCACAGTTTCAAACGCACCATCATCGACTCCATTACGGTTAGATATGGCAATAGAATGTCGTCCTGCATAATGTAGCATGATAACTCGCGAAATTCAGCGGAATCACGAGCTTGGCCGTTGATGAGTACCATGCCTCCAGATTTATGGGTTCTGCGAAATGTTACAAGATTGTAGAGAACTCCATACAGAGTTCCTTTTTCTTAATTACAACCTCAAACAAAGAATGTACCAACGCGAAACTTCTAAATTGATAGACACATGGAGTGTGCAGGTTGCTCTAATGCATAATCTGGGAGCTGAGTTTAGACTAAGCTTTGAAATTAAAGAAATTCTTTCGATGAAGTTAAACTTGTTGCCCCCCTCCCCCTCTTCCCAACACACACACATTTAGGGGATTCAATAGAAAAGGAAAGTGCTAATGCTGTCTATTATGTTTTAAAAGACAAAAAGCTATGTGTTTTGGTTTGAAGTTAAACCTCAAGCGGTCAACGATTGCTGACACAAGAAAAAAAATTATTAGTTATTGAAAGACGAGTTCTGATTGCCCTATCGAAATTCCTAAAAACGAGAAAGGCTTTGCGCTACGCTAGACTTGTACTTACTTGTATCCAGCAAGAATATTGACAAGAGTTGTCTTTCCAGCACCTAATCAAAACACAAATTTACCCCACAAATTGAAGTTAATATATATCAGATTTTTGCGCAAAATATATTTTACCAAGGAGTATCTATGTAAATAAAGCCTGTTTTTTAATAAGGCGAGCGAATCTTATTTTCTACAGAAAGGCGAGAAAGGCGAGTGAATTTTATTTTCTAAAGAAGTACGAGAAAGGTGAGTGAATCTTATTTTCTACAGAGGGACGAGAAAGGCAAGTGAATCATATTTTCTACAGAGGGACGAGAAAGGCAAGTGAATCTTATTTTCTACAGAGGGACGAGAAAGGCAAGTGAATCTTATTTTCTACAGAGGGACGAGAAAGGCAAGTGAATCTTATTTTCTACACAAAGACGAGAAAGGTGAGTGAATCTTATTTTCTACAGAAGGAGAAGATATTACCTGATGGACCAAGGATGCCAATAAGTTCTCCCGTATGAAATTCTCCAGAAGCACCATGAAGTATCTGTTTTGATTCTATAATTTGAGAGGGAAAAAATACGTGATCACTCATGGTGCCAGTTTTTCTTCATTCAGCCCAAATGTGGCAACTAATTTTAAGCCGACGTAGAACTTCCAAATTTCTGCACTCAATGAAAGCCAGACACAGATCTAATAATACACTAGATAGTGCAACGGCTTACATTTCATAAGTGGTGGTTGAAGCCGGGCAAATTTACTTCCGGAGCCCCAAAGTAGTGAGAATCAATATGGCGTTGTATTAGGAAATATCTGGTCAAAGCTGATATCTTGCAATTACTTGCAAGTCACGACGGTTACATAAACTGGTTTACTCTATTAATGAAAAAAATCAATGTGACCATAGTTTTTCAAGAAAAAGATAGCAGAATACGCCAATACATCGCCGTAAAATTGATTTCAAGTGTAGCTCGATTTGAAAGCATCAGGAGCGACGAAGGCTTAAGATACTGGAATTTGCACATCTAAATATCGTATCACAGCACAATCTGCCACAAAATGTTCAATCGAACGTCGTAGAATTATCTTCCAATATTTATTGTTAAGTAAAACGAGTTGGAGATAACAGTTTGAAAGATTTTTCACGATTTATATAAAGTATATTGTTCACTGTACATAATTAAATATTGCACTGGATTATTGTACCAGAAATGCATTTTTCTGGTGTTTCTGGTCGGCAAACGAATATAGCTATGTCAAGATGTGAGTAATTAATACGTTCAGAAATTATTTACAGAAAGAATGTGAAGAGTCTACCTCGAAGAGTCTATGTCTTGCTTGTCTATGTCTTGTCTATGTCTTGCTTGTCTTGCTTGTCTATGTCATAGAGTCTGTCTTGCTTCTTCGGAATTTGTTTTATATTATGAGTCTACCTCTGCTACACCAAATTTTTTGTGAAGTATAAAATAGCAGGTCACTTGTGAAACTGTTGATACCACAGGTTGATACAATACACTCTGTCCAACACGGGGAAAATATTTACTTGTTAAAGCAAGAAGAGTCACCAGACTTGTAGTCTTGACTATGTTTTACACATATATATAAACAATGTATTGACATAGTCTAAACCAGTGGGTTATATGGCCACTGCCCACAGTGCTTAATGTACTGTTATGGTGATGTTATGCTACTGTTTTCAACATTTTATTGTCTTTTTACCATTCAGGCATGTATATGCATATAAAACTTTCTACACATTCTTGTTATTGAAAATATCAAACCTAAATTATTTATTCTGAGCAAAATATTTAATTTGTGCTTGTAACATGTGTCAATTTCAGACTGATTTTGTAATATGCCTGTTCTATTACAATACATCCATAGATCGAGTATGATATCGCTGTGTTTGCCACGCGAACTAAGCCACACTATCGCAGATTGTGCTGTGATACGATATTTAGATGTGTAAATTCCAGTACTTAAGCCTTAGTCGCTGCTGATGCTTTCAAATCGAGCTACACTTGAAATCAATTTTACGGCGATGTATTGGCGTATTCTGCAATTTTTTTCTTACAAACTATAGTCACAATGATTTATTTCATAAATAGTGCAAAAAAGTTGATGCAACCTCCGCGATTTGCTAATAATTGCGAGATATTAACTTGGACCACATATTTTCTAATACAACGCCATATTGATTCTCACAACTTTGGGGCTCCGGAAGTAAATATGCCCGGCTTCAACTTTTATGTCAGTTGCACTATCTAGTGTATTATTAGATCTGTGAAGCCAGAGAGCAAACTAAATAATTGTCGTGTCAATTAAAAGAAATAAAATCAAGTATATTCCACGAAAAGTTCCCCTTCGACCGGAAACTGATTAATATAACCAAGTATACGCAAACAATTTTTCACTCTGGCGCCGCACCACCGATCTCCCTTCGCAAAGATGCTTTATTTTGCGTAAGCTTTTGCTTTCGACTTAATCAAGTCGATCTATCCGAGTTCTTTAGTTGTAACATAATATCTAGCATGCCTGCGAACCTCAACTGTATATGAACAGTGGAAAGTAAGGTTTTAATTTTGGTGTGAGTAGAAATATTTGCATTTGGAAACTAGAAATACTTGAAGTATTTAAAATGATCCGAGTGTGATTATACATGTTATGCTGTGTGATGAGTGTTCGCGCTTAAGCTGTATTTTAAAGTCATGGGAAAATCATGGACTATATTGGCTGTTGCAAAATTGTTATCTAATAATGATGCTTTTTTAAAGAATAGCCGACCGAGAGTCAAATGCTAATCTCCTTTTATGCTGTTGGGTCATATATAGCTAATGGCATGAATCTAATGACCATGTGATGCAACATGGGGAAAATTTTTGTATAAACACAGAAAACACTCCAGACTTCGTTAGCCCTTGATTAAATAGTAGTTTGTACCATGCTCATAGCACACTTATAGACGATCTTGACCATTCTTTGCCATATAGCTCCTATGTTTACTGTGTTTGCATAGGCTTATGGAGACCTTTTGGAGAACTCGAGAGCAGATAAAAACCTTCTTGTATCGTGATTCTGCTAATATATTTTCAGCCACCACTCGGAACTATGCTTGCAACCATCGCACTTTAACCCTTTGTTCTTACTGGCTTTCCATGCCGTATGCTAGTATCTTTCTTATCGTATCTTTCTGTCTTTTGAAACGCACTTGTTAATTAGTGCTCAGCTAGCTAAATGTATTTGCACCTTAAAAGTATGTATATTCATGATTATTATATTTTTAGTATGAGGGTGTTAGTAAAACAGCTCTTTGTTCAACGGTATGTTGATTGGAGGCGGTTGTTCGTCAACAATGCCTGAATGCAGACAATAGCGTTTGAGAAATTTTAATTGCTCATGTATTATGAAAGCTATTTATAGAAATGCATTATGTTTCTATTTTTGCTGTTCTTATTTAACAAATGATGCCAAAAAATTCATCGAACAATGTAGTCAAGGCATGTTTGGTGGAGTCCGTGGGACCATGGACAAGTTGATCACGGTTTGAGAGGGTCAGGCTGGGTTTGTTAGAGATGGCGCTGTTTTTTTACATAAGGATCTCAATCACGAGTGGGTGAGTACAATGAAGCGTCAAATGATTTCAGCAAATCGAATCGACCCAATTTCAGTTGCGTTATCAGAGAAATTCACTTGAATATATTCTTTCCAATCTCAATTTTTAAAAATATATAACATACAAAGACTCTTAAAATATTCAAGAACTGGAATACTGAAATATTGCCTCCCACAATGCTATGGTCCGTCGCATCACTATTTGAAATAAATGATCCAGAACCAAACGTCAGTTCAAAGTATTGCCAGGAAGTTTGGTTACTGAAACGCCGATATATGAACACCACCCACTGCATTTCACAATCAAGACATTCGCTAAATCTGCTCATCAGTAAGATGAAGCATAAGAAGTCTCGAATAAATAAAGGAATTTCCAGTCGGTTGGTTTGTGCAAGCCATCTTAACGACAACATTGTTATAACAAATATACTATTTGTGGCGTAATATAAATTGCTGAAGCAATCATTAAAACAAATATTGACACAATCATATGATAATAAAGATGTCACAACAAATTAAATAAGTTATGTCCATTGGATAGATTTGTACGTGCTTTTAAAAATCATGGCAACTGTTCGACTATAGAAACACAGCTTTGTATCCTACTTAAAAAAAACCGTGAATACAATTTCCACACAATTTGTGCAAACAGCTTAATAAATAAACTCTGGCTTTTGCAAGGAAAGTACAGAACAACAGATAAACGATTGCACTTTTAAATGTTGCAAGAAAACTCCTGTGGCTAAATATAGGAAAAGGGGAATTGATGCTGATTCATGGAATGTATTTCTCCCAAACAAGTACCAAGAGCGTTCGATATTATCAAGTGTTTGTATATATCGGACACGTGTATGCTGGACGATTAAGAGATTAATATCGAGTGAATAAGTTTAGAGAAAAAATAGCCACAAACATAGGTCCATCGCGGAAATCATAGCTAAAATTCATTGAATACCCCAACGCCTACGTACAATGCAGGAGCACTTAAAATTGAACATTTTGTAGTTGTATTTGCCAAAATATAGCAAAGTACTGAAGTGTTTGCACCCCATGACAATTACATTGAGGAAAAACTCACCACTTCTTGACACTTTAACTTGGTAAGTGAGATCGATAAATTCGAGAGCTAATTTTTGTGTACACGTTTTCCATATGTCTTCAGTCGATTTATGGAGTAACGCGTTGCCATTGATTTCCGATTTTGAAAGTGTGCGTGGAAGAGTAACCGATGGGCAAAGTTTTTCGGTAATGTCGCAGCTTTCATCGGGTAGAGCGCTCTCATAGCTACTTGATCTTTGCCATTGAACAGTCATCTTGCTAACCAACACTTCAAAATATGTTTTGCGTGGCAAACTGCTAATGCTATTTGCATATTGTAAACGATATGCAAACTTGCTCGATCATGCATACGTTACGCAACACGGAAGGACTAATTATAAACACAACATCGAGCAGGCAACCATTTGCACTGCCCATAAGTAGAAAGTTTTCTTATCATTCAGTTCATTTATTGTAGCACGCATATCAAAGTTCAAACTCCAAATGGTAAATCGGGTCACTGCTCATGCTTTCACGTGTGTATTTTTGAAGAAAAAATGAGTATGGGCTAATACTTTATTATCCGTCACCTGCATCTGCATGCAATACGATTGATTCAAAATTTTCCAGTTTCAAAAGTAAAATAATTTGCATGTGTTCATAGTTGCAAGGGCATTTTAGGTCTTTGAAGTGCTTATGAAGCGAGATTTTTCATTCTCGAGGTATTGAACTTCTTTTGAAGTGACATTTACATAACCTGCGACGTCACATGGCACAATTCAAATCTCAACATTTTGTTGAAATTTATCAACAATATTAAATACCATCACGACTTCACAACGAAGAAAGTTGGAAGTAACATAGTAGAAAACATACCTGATAATGCAAGACCTCGTTCGGCACCGTGATCTCACAAATTGTGTAAATTTGACATAAAAAAGCGCCAATACCTAGAGAATGAAGAGATATGCATTAAATTGTTTTAAAAGTACACTGTCATTTTAGAAGTTTTCTTCATATATGGTTTAATGGGCACTTTAAGAGATTTTTCAAGAACCCTAATTGATTACAGTAGTTACTACTGACTGGGCTTCATAATAAATATTAAGCATTAAGCCCGCCGCACACTGGTGAACTTGCCGCGCGTACTTGTTATTCGTGTTTCGTGACAAGTGTGATTCGTGACAAAATTTCCTAGTGTGCGCGTTTGATATTTGACTAATCTGTCACGAATGACAAATGTTGTTCAAAACTTCCACGCACACTAGGAAATTTTGTCGATCGCACTTGTCACGAATAACAAGTACGCGTGGCAAGATCACCAGTGTGCGGCGGGCTTCATTGTTATTATTATTATTATTTCAAACATGTAGGAATAACCCAAACAAAGACAGCAGGTACTGTGCGAGTGTGCGTGTGGTCACCCTGCAAGAGTGTATTTAACGAAAGAACAAAAAGAGAACGAAAGTGCGTTTGACATGAAGTACTCACTCGACCGCTGAGTAAATCATCTCTTAAAAGCAAAATAAAATCGAGAGTAAATGCTAGTTTTGCATCATCCCACATTTATTCGAAATAATCGAGTATTAGAATGAGACATCGCTTTATTGTGTTTATTGAATGTTTAAACCAGCGAGCTTTTCAGAAAATTTCCCATTGACGGTAGTTTTACACTTGCATCCGTATTGTCGCAACTTTGATTTTGCTGGATCGGTGATCAATGAGCCACACGTGCTTCGGAATGCATGCAAATGGTATCAAATGCAAGCAACGTACACGTCAGCTCTGTGTAGTAAACATTGCGCCTCAGCGAGACTCGTCAGTTGTGCATCAACAAACACAAAGATGTTCGAACAAAAGCAAAAATAAATTTTAATTCGTGCTTTACGCGATTGTTCCTCCTAAGACACCCTCGGAAATTGACAAGAGATTTTGACCACCTAAAAAAGTTAATTCCCAATGTGGGACAGAAAATCGAAGTATGGTAAAAAAGTGGATATATATAGGTCGCATTGGTTTATATACTTCATACCTTTTTACTTACATAAAAAACGTTCATAATACTGCACCTCATTCTTGGGAAGTACGTATTCATTTATTTACTGGTTAACTGTGGTAAACTCCCTACATTTTCCACTGGTTAAAATATTCTTTTGTGATAGATTTTGCGGTTGCTTTCTTCGTCCAACGTAGCCATGCTTAACGGATGATTTTCTCAATATCGGAAGTACATATTCATTTATTTACAGGTTAACTCCCTGCGTTTTCCACTGATTAAAATATTTTTAAGGTATATCTTGCAGTCGGTTTCTTTGTCCAATGTAGCCATACTTAACGGATGATTTTCTCAATACCTATTTACACTTCATGCACATTATCGCACATTTTTTTTAAATTTGTCAGATTCTATCATAAAACAATTTCTTTGGAAGCGGGGTTAGAATTTTCCTTCATTTTTTTTTACATTTCCCTATTAATTCACCCGAATTATATTTTGTGCCTTATTTTTTTCCTTTTCTTTTTTATTATTTTTTGGTTTCAATCAATAATCTACATCGACATCATGCGTTTGAACATATAACAGCAATACATTTAACATTTTCTTTGAAATATCAACCGACATCCAGCTAAAAACGTCGTTAATAGGTCCAAAGTCGTTCCAAACAACAATCCAATCAACGCCATCATTGACTTTGAAAATCAGCAAATTTATCGGGTTAATTTAATGCTGTTTAGCTGTACTGTACACCATTCATGGAATAGCACTTGTTGTACAGTCATTTGTGGTGTCCTCATTTTAAACAGCACCAAGTGGCTCTGTACATTCTGTCATCCATAATTGTGAAGCAGCGCCAGCCCTCTCAACAAACTTTCAGCTATCGATAACAGTACTGTACCTTGATATTATAGCTATAGACGCTGTACTCGTTATTACCATGTAACATAAGACGGTAGGCATCACAGAGGTTGACACAAAATCGGGAAATAGTACTCTTCAGCAAGTACGTTTTGTTCACATTGCAACAACTGTAGATTTCTCAAGCTCGTCAACATGAAATGTCGATTGCTCACCAAATACTTTGAACAATGCGATCACAAATAAGAAATCCAATATTTGACCATCCATTGGCAGACAAACCTTTCTTATACAAGACGTTCTGTGCATGCACCACATCCTCTTGAGAAACAGTTCGGAATAATGATGATCACTCATCAACGTCGCCATGTTCTTTCTTCTTCATCATCCTCATCATCCATGTGGCCTTCCAGCAACATTTCTTCTGTTTCTGCATCCAAAGCATTTTCCTTAAAAAAATTGTTTCAAACCAGTGTGCGTGAGTTGGTTGTATTGCACCAGTCAAATCACATCCCTCCCTCCTCTCACCCCTCTCCGCAATAGATGTAGACATGCTCACCGAGATGGTGAAGAGGGTACACACTACTTTTCCGTGTTGAAATGGTTTCAAAATACCAGGATTACATTGAATGTATAATATGATCATGGCGCTACTCAGGGACGAATTTACTGGGGGAAGGGGAGGGGTGCAGGGGGTGCCACCTCTCTAAACATCAGATTTCACTCCCCTAAATAAATTGCTCACCCATCTAAATAACATTTTAACCCCCAAATTTTTAGCAAAACAAATCATTTGTACAGACGAACCAAGTTTTTCAGGGAAAAATTTCAACTTTCTACACAACCTTTGATGACTGCATTAATTGTCCACCCTGATTCTAGTACCTCACATTGTTTTACGTCACTTCTTCACCAGCTCACCCCCCTAAAATTTTTAGCAGCCCCCCTGTAAAAAATATGAAAATCCATTTGTGGTGTTGCTTAATACACCAAGGCATTATATCATCCATCTAAAGCCTGGTTCACACATGTCGTAATTCATCGCTCATTTTTTATTTCCTTATCCAATTGAAACAATAAAAAGTGGTTAGAAATCATTTCATGAACTTTACTAGTTAAGTTACTTGTATTGCCTTATTGCGGGACAAATCTTCTATACTTTAATGGACTTTCCTTTCAAAGTTAATGCATGCATGTACGCTAGCTTCGTGAGCTTTTGAAATTCTTGTTCCATATAAACCAGGAAAATTTCTATTTCGTACTCAAGCTATTAACTTGCCCGTGTTTAGTCTAACATTTTTGATTGTTACGAAAGTTGATACATGAAGTTGATCACATACATGATAAGAAGCAAACTTGTTTAATACTGGTTATACGTGCTTTGTTAAACATGAAATGTTTGACCCGCAAATTCTTAATCTACATTTTAGTAAAACGTCAATACGCAGTTAATAAAAAAACATGCTAACACCCTTGTTGAAACGTAAATCATCAAAAATTTTGGAGATCTTTTATCAAAAACAAAAAAATTTCTATAAGTAAATAATCATATTTACTTAAATTAACTAAATTTATAACAGAGATAATCATATCGTTTAACGATACTAGGATAAACGATTAGCCTTGTTGCTAATACGCATGCACCAATCATAGACTCACCGAGTCGACGAGTTCTTCTTCTGAACCGATTGATGACTTTACATTAACAGGTGTTTCATGTAGTGCTGAGATGGATTTTCGTCTTTGCCAACATACAGTGACATCCATGTTTAACGAAGACACGTGCGCGATTGCCTAGAGTGCATAAAAATAAATAAATGGTTGAAAATGATATAGAAATGATGTAAATTAAGTAAAAAAAGAAGAAAGTAACGAAGAAAATATGCACGTTAAGACTACGTTTATACTACTCTAAATCTGTCCGACAACGAATTGAAGAAGTAACAGGCCCGGTTTGTATTTTAACTGCACCAGAGTAGATAAGTTTGAAAACGTCTCTTTCACCGTAGCGACAATACCACACTTTCTAAACGCGCTCGAACACAAATGGAGCAGCGTTAACGTGGTCTAAGGTATATTTTCGAGCATCATTCATACGCATAAAACTTTTGTGATTTAAAAACTCTTTTAAAAGAAACTTATCTTACACTTTCTGCTTGTTTACGAGTATGGTATGTAACGACAAGTCGTCGACCTTCGTTTTCTTCTTCTATCTGTTCGATTTCACCAAATACCTAAAATACAACACAAATTAAGACATGCTTTAGGTGAGTTCCGAACACGACTCTAGAAAAGATTAATTGTCAAAGCGGGTAATAACATCAAGGCGGTTCAAATGCACAGCTATCCCTATTGAATTGGGTGAGGAAGTGTTAATTCGTATATTCAGCTATGCTCAACTGACCTGCTTATATGAGCCCCCTCCCTAATTAGCGTTCTACGAAAGATCCTGCTGAAATGATGAACCAAACGCCTCCCCGAAAGGCCCTGCAAAAGCTATTGAGATGGAATTTTCGACTTTAAGTGAGAAATAAACACCTTCAAACGTTGTTTAACGAGATTCTTCTTTTCCAAATTGTAACTTTCAACCACGACAACTTTTGGTCGATTATCTACGACTGCTGCAGAACGAGAAACCACAGAACGACCCCTGGCACCAGAACCACGAGATAAACTACGCAAATGTATGCGTCCACCACGACCACGACCGCGACCACCACCACGTTGGTTCGCATCTAAAAGACCAAGGGACTGCGCCTACAATACAATGACCAGCAGCAGAGATTTTATTCAGAAATTCACTTGACTATCATTTTAACAATAAAAGTAATTTAAGTAACTCACAAAAATAGACTTCTATAGTATTGATCAAATAAATAATGCTATTGATCCAAAATTTACATCTACAATAGGTCAACCCCTACATTAGATCAACAAAACTTGTACATGCATTCGATTTTGCAAAATATACAATAACGACGGACTGTTGTTTCACAAATTAAACTCGAACAAAAATCATACAAACTAAGATTACGGAAATTTAACGGAGAAACACCATATACAATTTTGCACTAACAAAACGGGCTCAAATTTTCAATTCAAATAAAATACTCTTGCTGGTAATTTACCTCCTTCTTCAACTCTTCGACTCTATGTCTTAATTCCGTTGTATCTTCTCCCGTCTGTTCATGTGTAATGAGGTCCAACTCCCGATCCAATAACTCCTTCTGAGCCTTAAGCGAGAGGAAAATCAAAATCAATGAAAACACACTTCACAATCAGCGCCATGCACAGATACAGTCGACTGTTACAAATGCATAGATCGTTAATTCCAGCTCTGATTGCCTGTTCATATCGAATTATGTTTTTTCAACACAAAATTACACGCATTGCTTTGCAAGTTAACATACTTATTAGACAAATGATGTTTTACGTTAGTATTTTTATCCATCAAATAATGGAAGGAGAGCTTATTCCTAACACTTAGTAAGAATATGATGGCGAATGACGTTATTACCCGAGATGTATTGAGCTACTCAACAACACTCGAAGTAATAAAGACAGTACTTCAATAGCGAATGACTCGCCACGCAGGAAACGGATCAGTGTTTAAAAAATTACCCAAGATAAAATACTAAGTATAGTCATCGAGTAAGAAATTATAATTTATTGAAAGTGAAGTTTCGTCTTTACACAAGACGTCATCAGACGAACATTTGAAATGATCAAGGTGTGCGTTTATATACATACAAAAATTTCCATATTGGGAGTGTAGCCAAGAAAGCCTCCTGATCTCTAAACTCACACCCACACTGAATGTCCAATGCAGTTCCATCCCACTCGACCTTATTCAAGTATCCACTACATTTCGTGCCTATCTGCACTACATTGGATATCAGTTTCCGCACTGGCCATACTTAGCATTTTATGTGGGGCAGTTGTTTTTTAAAGTAATTTAAATGTAGGCAGATGTATGGTTATCAAGTTTAGATGGTAAATTATGCCTATGAAACATTTTTATCTGTTCAGTGAAGCAATATTTATATTTGCTTAACAAGAACTGGTCACTAAGCTTCATTTGTTCAGTGAAGCAATATTTATTCTTGCTTAACAAGGAATGGTCACTAAGCTTCATTTGTTCAGTTAAGCATTATTTATTTCTCCTTAACAGAGAATGATCATTACGCTGTATCTCTCGTGATGAAAGCTTTCGCAGTCAATGTGCTATCTAAGTCTCTGCTAATAACATACCACTTGTCGTGCTCGAGCGGGACTTTCCTTTGATCTCACTAATGCAGCACTAACTTTAACTTCATTTTGGAGTTTCGATACGCTTTCGGAGACAATCTTGAGAGTCTAAAAAGAATGTCAACAGACTGGTACAAACCTTTTTTCTCATTTCTACAAATAAACGTACAAATATGTCCATGATTGGCTGTACACACATACACATACGTATAAGATAATAACCCTTCACGTTGATGAATGAGATCAAAAGCAGCAGCTTCATACCTGCATTATTTGTTCCTTATCCGCAGGCTTTAAATTCTTTGTTTGCTCTAACTTCTTTATCAAAAGCTATATATAAGTAAAACATAAGTAACTCTATATAGTTAGCCTCGTTCTTTGAAAAGCTATAGTAGGAAACACTGCCTACAGCGTACACATATCCACTTCCAAGCTCATTAAATCGAAAGATTTTGTTCATCAAAACATAAGTAATAATCATGACCTTTTCTTGTTCACAATATAATCTCAGTTTGCTAATTGGAGTATTTTTAATAATGCACTAGCTTTGGGATTCAGTACATCGCTACAGAAAAAATTTAGCACGGTCATTGTAACTGATTAATCATTGCGAATTTGTTTTTAACTGTGTCGTTGTTAACAGCACCGGCATAACAGTTCGAAAATAGACATATCCACCATAAAAATTATAAAAATGAACTTGTAGCTATTCTGGTTGACAACTAGAAACGCTAGTCACTCGACACGCAGCAACTAGAAAACTGAAATCAAACTTATTATAGTTTTAATTACTTTTTCTTTTTTTAAAAATAGAATCACGCTGAGGTGTATTTAAAGAAAAACCAGTTCCAAAAAGACTGAACGTGAACTTTCAGGAAAAGACAGAGAAAGTTACAATTTAAGACATAAACCATCCTACCATCATTAAAATGTCACAAGAAAATTGGCAAGACAATGGCTGTGGACGCCCAGACGGCAAACGTTTCTGCAGAATTGCGAACACACACCCAAACGTATAAATAGGAGTAGCTATCCTAGACCAGATAATACTAAACCTAATAATCGATTGCTACCTTTTGGTTTTCGATTTGTTTGCATAGTAACTCTTGTTTCTGCTTTTGTAGCATAACCTTTTTCTTTACAACGTCCTGGGGAAAATTAAAATCTTATGTAGCAAGAAAGCACAAAATAAGAAGACGAGGAAAAATCTATAAAGCAGGAAGTGCACCTTAACCACTTTAGCGGTTGAATGTTTCTTCTTTTCCACAGCAGTCGATAAAACGGCTGACTTAAAAGTTGTTTGCCCAGTCTGAAACATGATTGGAGCAGCTGGCTAAATGTTCAGAAAAAAAAGCATATGAGTAAAAGACAATAAAACATCATTGACAGTATATAACATGGCCATCACAACTTTAACCTTATCATTGACAGTAGCTAACATGGCTGTCACAACTGAAACCTTATCATTACATTAGCTAACATGGCTATCACAACTCTAACCTTATCATTGACCGTAGCTAACATGGCTATCACAACTCTAACCTTATCATTGACCGTAGCTAACATGGCTATCACAACTAAAACCTTATCATTGACAGTAGCTAACATGGCCATCACAACTCTAACCTTATCATTGACAGCAGCTAATATGGCTATCACAACTCTAACATTATCATTGACAGTAGCTAACATGGCCATCACAACTCTAACCTTATCATTGACAGCAGCTAATATGGCTATCACAACTCTAACATTATCATTGACAGTAGCTAACATGGCCATCACAACTCTAACCTTATCATCGACAGCAGCTAATATGGCTATCACAACTCTAACATCATCATTGACAGTAGCTAACATGGCTATCACAACTCTAACATTATTATTGACAGTAGCTAACATGGCTATCACAACTCTAACATTACCATGACAGTAGCTAACATGGCCATCACAACTCTAACCTTATCATTGACAGTAGCTAACATGGCTATCACAACTCTAACATTACCATTGACAGTAACTAATATGGCCATCACAACTCTAACCTTATCATTGACAGTAGCTAACATGGCCATCACAACTCTAACATTATCATTGACAGCAGCTAATATGGCTATCACAACTCTAACATTATCATTGACAGTAGCTAACATGGCCATCACAACTCTAACCTTATCATTGACAGCAGCTAATATGGCTATCACAACTCTAACATTATCATTGACAGTAGCTAACATGGCTATCACAACTCTAACATTATCGTTGACCGTAGCTAACATGGCTATCACAACTCTAACATTATCATTGGCAGCAGCTAATATGGCTATCACAACTCTAACATTATCATTGACAGTAGCTAACATGGCCATCACAACTCTAACCTTATCATTGACAGCAGCTAATATGGCTATCACAACTCTAACATTATCATTGACAGTAGCTAACATGGCTATCACAACTCTAACATTATTATTGACAGTAGCTAACATGGCCATCACAACTCTAACATTACCATGACAGTAGCTAACATGGCCATCACAACTCTAACATTATTATTGACAGTAGCTAACATGGCTATCACAACTCTAACATTACCATGACAGTAGCTAACATGGCCATCACAACTCTAACATTATCATTGACAGTAGCTAACATGGCTATCACAACTCTAACCTTATCATTGACAATGGGTTTCGCATTGCTCACGGCAGTTTTATTGTTCTCGAGTTGTACTTTTCTGTCGTTCTGAAATGTAATGAATTTATTCTGAAGAAAATCAAATGAAGTAACACACAGACTCCGTGTTTGCATTCATTTTAACATCGGTTCAAAAGATAATCATTGACAAAAATACCCTCCCTCCATTCCTTAAGTAAATTTTCATGGTAAAATGGAAGCACAGACTATCATGCTATGCACTTAGTTAAGTTTCTGTACCTTTTGTTGCTCCAAGTCAGGCTTATGCCAAAATATTCGAATAAATCGGTTTCCGAGAATCGCATCCGCACATGATATCGCGGCGCGTGCCTCAAAGTTCGTGGAAAATTGTATCAACGCCATATCTGATTGACCAAAAGCGGAAACCTATGATAATACAAATAAGAAAGTATTAGGTCTCATTTACACTGATATGTACAAGTGCCGTGTGTTGTTGATCTACTGATTTTAGCATAAGAACCTCGGCACGACAAGATATGTTTTCCAAGTCAAATTACTTAAGTATACTAAAGCCATTGTTCAAGTATATGTACAATGAAAATCTTCTTAAATGATCCAGTAAAATTATTCAAGTCAAACTACTTGAGAAGCAAATGGGTTGTCGAAAAGTCAGTTAAAACGTCAGAAATCGACGCTGTCTTGTATGAGCCAAGAAAAAGAACACAAGAAGTCACGTATCACTTAGAAAAAGACCGCTTTTAACACCTGTATATTTACTATCTTTCCAAATCTCTGGAAGTAAGCATTCAAAGTGGCAATGTTGTTGAGGTTCGGCGGCAACTTCTTCACTTCCAAAACTGTGTTGGTATATCTGCGAGGCGGGGGGTTCGTTGTTGGCGGGTTTGATTGCTCGGGCACACTTCCTGCAGTTGGAGGGACAGTTGTAATATTGGCACCCTTAACAGCTGTCGCTGTATTCTTGATATCTTGAGCTCCTGCTGAGTAATATAGAAATAATTGTTGATAAACGATTTATAGGCAAACAAGGTGAGGATCAATTGTTTCACAAGCAGTAACTAGCATGGAGGCAAGGTATATAACTATGACGTAGTAGAAATGTATACAATGCCGAAGCAACAAGTCCACATGCAACAAGACAATACTCAAAACGCATTGAAGAATAGGAATAGTATACAAAAAAAACAAAATCCAAGACTTGATCTGTTCATGAAGGAGGAATCAAAAATCGGCCGAAATGTGTACGTCGAGCACCGAAAGAGCTCGCTCTCCATTTTCCTAAAACAGGACTTTGTTCACATATTTACCGCTAGTAGAAAAACGAAAAGATCTCCTAAAGGGACAAATGGCCAAGTTTCGTTTTTGACTTGATCAATTAAAAAATTAAAGCGTTGACAAACCTGTAGAAGACACAACGGAAGGCACCTGGGCGGTCATGACTTGTACAAGTTCTCGACCTCGCTGAATGTGCATATTGGCAATATGGGAGCTCTGCATACCAAGTCGAGCCCACACCGAAGGTTTCTCAGGCTGTCGACCATCAAAAGACGGTTGCTCGGGATTATACATTTCACCAACACTCGGAATAACGTCTAAAAGAAAAAATTTTTCGTGTTTCCATAACAAATCCTCACTACGTAGATATCAAGTATCTATGGGTGAGTAAGTACATGCAATGTACGTATCTGGCAATACAAAAAATACAGATGGCAGACTGTTTAGTCAATCCGACGAATTAAAAATTAAAGAAAATTAAAAAAACGCTTACAATAACACAGCACTATTATTTAAAAAATACACAAATCACGCGAGCTTCTTTCATGTCATTTCTGATAAAAGTTTGCGACGCCAAATTGTACAATTTAATATAAGTTCTCGCAAAAGCAATTTACTGCTAAACATTAGTCTCTCACACCATTGAAGGGTTATAGCACAAAAACAGGGTGTCGTTTCCTTTGGTTTGCGTTTGAATTAAAATTTCATTCATATACCTTTATAGCGAGCGATTGCCACATTTGGTCTAACATTTGCAATTGGCGTTTGAGCTACAGCAGTTCGAGATTCGTCTGATTTTGACCGAGAAGTGTTGTTCTCGGATATTGCCGACGTAGGAACGCGAACGTTAGCGGTCACATGTGCAGCGGGACGGACAGGATAGGGGATATGGGGCATAGCCGGTCGCATCGTCAAACCTTGAAATGTAACAATTGAAGCTCATTCTTCGTCATAAAATAACGCGTGCTGTTATTGTGTGAATTAGCATGCATTAGAATAAATCATCCCTTTGAACCCACCATCCAAATGACGAAAAATTCTGGTGATGAAACCATCTCACTGACTAATCACCCCCATGATCAACCATCCCACTACTGACTAACCATCCAACTAACTATCCCAATTATCAACCATCCAATTGACTAAACATCCCAATGATTAACCATCCCACTAACAAATCATCTCAATGATCAACCATCCCACTGATTAATCATCCTAATGATCAACCAATGAACTAATCATCCCAATAATCAACTATCCCACTGACTAATCATCCCAATGATCAACCATCCCACTGACTAATTATCCAAATGATCAACCATCCCACTTACTAATTATCCCAATGATCAACCATCCCACTAACAATCCTAATAATCAACCGTCCTACTGACTAATCATCTAAACGATCAATCATCCCACTGACTAATCATCCTAATGATCAACCACCCCCCTGACTAATCATCCTAATGATCAACCACCCCCCTGACTAATCATCGATCAACCATGTCAGTTATTAAACTATTCTAGTGCTCAAACCAGTCCAATAATGAAACCATCTCAGTCTCAATAATCAAACTATCTCAGTGATCAAACCATCCCCGTGAATAAAACCTTTGCACTCATTAATCTATCCCAATAACAGAAATAAAACTATCCTAACTTCGAAATTTAATTCAAAATGGAAATGAAAATGTAACATCTAATAAATCTTGCACATTTTCCTGAAACTCTTTTTTAATTTCATTTTATGATAGAGCTCCTTTTCTAGTTTAATTTGATATGTTGATACCTAGCAGGTGTTGAACAGTTAGCAAAACATTCGAGTTTAAAAAATTGCCTTTGACGAAGATAGGTTGCCCCCTTAAATTAATTACAAAAGAGTGAAAGCCTCCGAAAAAAAAGAAGGAGCAATGAAAATTGAGTTCAGTATAAAAAATTGATGCGTTCTATTTAAATTGTACGAGAAAGGTAGGTATTCCTTTTATACACTAATCACATTGTGATTTTCAATTGTTTGGGACGCCTGATCCAAACACTGAACAATGTTGTAAGCGAAAAAGAGAGTGCCAGACAAATTCACCTAAGCGACGTGTATCGCTGTCTATTTTAAAGTGCCCAAATCACCCTCAGGGAAATAATCGATACAGAGCGAGTGGGCGATTTTAAGAACATTTGCAATATACTTCATATAACGAAAATTGGATCTCCCCCGACTTTTGCGCCACAAAGTTGGCTTCAAAACTAAAAATGCTATGATGTAAAGTATCATGTAATGTAATTCAATTTCTTTTTAGGCAATAATTCACATACCCGTTGGATTCAAGCCCGCCGTTTCAGAAATAAACGCGGCGGGATGAGGAGCCCGCTGAAAACCAAGCACGATTCCTGGAATGTTCATAGGATCACTGCCAACAATCAAGGGATCATTACCATGATCATAAAGACACAACTCGCCTCTCATACAATAACCTTTCTCTACAAAGACATCGCAAAATTGTTAACAGCAGAAACTGTGGATGAATTAAACGGCACACTATTTCTATATATGCTGTTGACATTTGCAAATTTTCATAACAAAGTAGCATAAGACTGGAGATCGAAAGAGGACTGGGCACAGCTGTTAGGGTTGTCAAACACCTGATTTTTTGCCGTCATGGTCTCAAAGCTCCGCTGAAAAGTTAGCTTTGCAGGAATATATTGAAGACCAAGTTTTGTCAAAAAAACCTAACAATTGAAAGATAAACAGGACGACAAGATAATTTGAATAACGCAAAGGGCTTCAGACAAAAGATATACAATTAAGGAGGGACTTTTTTCTATCAATTGCAATTCACAAGATGTAAATATTACGCTTACGCATGTTATTTACAGCGGTATCTTGGAACTCAATGTTTGGAAGTCAGTGGCACAAAATAGACACAAACAGTAGTCCCACTCTAAAGATTTTTTTGTGTAGCGCATGTGATTAGTATAGTGGCAGCCAGTCAATTGCTTTTTTTTTGCCGATAGGATGGCAGAGATTGCTAGCCGTAGGCCGCAGCAAGCAATCTAAGTAAATATACAGCACCAAGTTGCACAGTGAGTGAGACTACTATATGTTTCTATACTGTGTCAGTGGGAAGAAAGGCAACGAGGCTCATAAATATGCCAGACTTAAGTCATGAAACAAAAGCTCACTATAGAATACCGGAAATTTTGCCATCAATACACCCACAGTTGACTTACATCAATTCATTAACATCATCTTGTCATACTGTGTCATAGAAAAATACAAAGGAAAAGTGGCTTTGACGAAATATTACAAGCATTACACTTGTTTCTTGTTAATTTCTAGTCAATGTTCAGCAAAAATTGACAGTTTAACGAGAGTGGACAACATAAAAAAATCGAGAGTAACAAGATTACCTAACTGTCCAAACACTAATATCTGTCATTTTCAGATGGCCCTATCTGCCCAGACACAGCTACCTGTCACTTCCAGACAAGCCTAACTGTCCAGACACAACTATCTGTCACTCCCAGACATACCTATCTACCAAGACAAAACTATATATCGCTCCCAGGCATGCCTATATATCCAGACATAACTATCTGTCACATCCAGACAGCCGTCTATATGCCCAGGCACATCTTACACACGGCCTTGTCTGCTCAGAAACAACAATCTGCCACTTTCAAACAACTTAATATTCAAAATCACTCTATTTCATAAAAAGGATATTTTTTTCATAAATGCTATGAGGACGACAGATGGGCCCTACGACATCATGCTTCTTTCCCAAAATTATGTTTTATGAAAGTGTCAGTGTGTTTAAGGCATAATATAATGGAAGAGATTCATAAAATTACGTCGAAAATAACAAGGGTTAAAACAAGAACGACTATCAAATCATTTAACACAAGAATTAACCCAAGTTATGTACACCATGGATACAGAAATCATTATCCACATTGATTTATGCAGAAAATTGAAATAGCTTGAAGCAGTCGCACTTGATGACCGACAATTTGTGTTAACCAATGAAATTGTAAGTAAAATCTGGCCACAGTAGCAATCGAAAACAATTTATTTCAACAACATCCACACTAAATATGCAAACCGATAACGGACGACAATTTCATCGAAGCACAGCGAGCCTCAGGTTATGGTCCCGCAGCCTACGGGTTTTGGTCCCGCTATGTAAATTTCAGAACATTAACTTTACTGATTTCTTTAGAAGTTTTTTCTTTTCACAGTGAGCGAACATACAAAAAGTTGCATACGTAGCAGGCCATAACTCGCAGGCTGGCAACGCCAGTACAAAGGCAACCATGTTTTTAAGTTCTATGATCTTTCAAGGTTAATAAATAACACAACAAATATACCATTTTTCCAAAACTGAACAAAACGTCGTTTTTTTGTAAAAAATATTTTCATAAATAATGCGATATTTTCACAAAATATACAATGACTGAAACTTTTTGAAGAAAGACAGCTCTTGCCATGGATGGATTTAGAATGATTACGTAGGGGATGGGGGCTTCTCTAGTTTGAATGAGAATAAGATGGCAACATTTTTGGTGTCACCGGGAATTTTTTTATCATTAAATTCTATTGCTACACAATGATATCTTTTGCTACACCAGGGGCATATTTTTTGGAAGTGCGCACCATCAATAACAAATCAAATTTTTTTGCTTGATCGCTAAGCACATTAACTTTTCGTATGTGAATTTATTACCCCTCTGGACCTCCTTTAGCCAAGGTTAGATAAGGTACGCACCTCCTTCCGTAAATGCACCCCTCCTCTAGCCAAGGCTAGGTAAGGTAAGCACATCCACCAGTAAATCCACCAATGGCTCAAGCAACACTCAGGTCAACAATCTATGTCGACTTTCACACAGGACACATTTCATGTTGTTTGAACATTCCCATTGGCGTGATGAAATTCCTTTTAACACATATAAGATAAATATTTCCCGATTGTCTCGCCAGATGCAATGATTTACGTAAAGTGAAACGTAAAGGGAAAACAAACCCAACCCTTACGTATTCCCTCAGCAATACTCGTGGAATGCACCCAACAGAAAAGTATGCGCTAAACGTAAACTTTTCTGAAAATAACCAAATCAACAACAAAACACGATGTTTGATAAAAAAAATTAGATAAGTGAGACAGCAATAGTTCAGCGGAGTTTTGCCACCAGTTGATCATGATGGTTTAAATGGCGCGAGAGCGCCTCCATTTTGTTAGAAACAACTGATAAATAGGGCCGTGAAGCTTATTTCGGTCCTACAGAACGCAATGATTTTCACTAGCAAATATCGTATTGGCACCAAACAAGGAATAGAAAGAAAACCAGTCATGTTGAAAGCGTTGCACTCATGATCAGGGACTTTTCTGTATAATCTCCATTCTGTAGTGTCAAGTAACACGAAACCGGAAGCCACGATACAATGCATCATCGACACAACAATTTCAAAACGTGATTTTAGCAGAAGTGGCAGAAACGTGCAGGACATAGTGCGAAAATTTACGCCTATATTCCTTCAAATTTCCATATTTTCCTAAAGTCTGTAATAAGTGTAGTTTTCCTTACCGTCATAATCACGACATCGCCCACGTTTTCCCCATGGCCTGCTCTTATACAGTCGACTTTTTGCAGACGGTCTATCCTCGTGCCTGGGTTTTCCCTTGTCCGATGTTCGCTGTGAATTTTCTCTATCTGGCAAAAAAATCAAATCTCCATGTTTATAATTCAAATTTAATTTGACGAGTGTCTTCGTGCAATAACATCAGCGCGATTCTCCCGTCACATTCAAACTGTGATTCTGTCATAATGCACAGGCAATAATTAAAACCTAACAAAGTAAGGAATATTCATTTAATTTAATTTCAAACACCGCACTGCATATAACATTCTTGCATATGACATTCCTTTCACAGGAGAATATTCATTGTGTATTACGGTAACTTTATCAAAAAATATGTGCTGTAATAGTTTTTCAATATCCTGCTCATAAGATACAAAAGCAAATGTGCTACGTCACGTGTTTGAGGACCCACAAAAAGAAGTTATTCAAAACCTCTTAACAAATACCACTCTGTGAACTTTGAGAAATTTACCGTTGAACAAACATCCTTATTCGCTAAGGATAACAGTTGAACTTCAGACTGGACATTTTCGCGATTCGATTTAGATGCTTGACTTGTTCGAAACAGATTTCACACAATTCAAAACAAAATCAAACCCCAAACGAAAAAATAATGCAAGCGAAAAAACACGTGCAACTAGCTAGCTACGTAAACACACTCGTTGTACCTGAAGAACTTTCTCTTGTTTTATCAGCTAAGTTATGCTTTGAAGATTGCTCTTTGCCGTCTTTTCTTTTTGTAATGTCTTCGTCCATACCCTCGTCTTTATTTTTGTTTTTTGCAAACTCATCCTTAATATCTTCGGTGGGTTCATTTTTTAATACTTTAACACGAGGTGCGCTTATATCACGATCCGATTCAGAGCGCCTTTTTTTCGCCCTTTGCGAGGACTGGTATGTATCCCTATGGATTGTCAGGATCGGTTTTTCTTCTCGTTCCTCTACCTCCTCAACGGGTTTTCGAGTTCGTTTGAAGTCGCGATCGTCCTCATCGAGCACCGAAGACTGACAATGAAATACTGAATAAGATTTGATTTTCACAAGCAAAACTTCAAGTTTAATACAAACCTAATCCTCTTAATGCAAAATAACACTCTAAGTAACGGCTGAAACGCGATCGGTAAAGTCAACTTAAGCCTGTTTTCCACTAGCCACGTATCGTAACGTATCGTAGCAAAACGTAACATGGCGCATGCGTGCTTAGGCATATTGACCATCAAATTCATAAGCACGCATGCGCCATGTTACGTTTTGCTACGATACGAGGCTAGTGGAAAACAGGCTTTAGTCAAATTCATTTTTAACTTTGTGAATGTCGGTTTTTGACCAGACACATAAATCCCACCAACGTCAAGAAATAATTTGTTTTGAGGTGAGATCATTGTCCATTGACTGGCTGTTGTTGTAAGCCATGGCTGGATGTATGTAGCAATACTTTTCTATGTATGCACAGTGAAATCATTCATAAATTTTACCTCTTCAGCCTGCGGTCGAAAACTCTCATCAGTACTCAATACCCTCTTGTTATCGGGTCTAGGCGAAGGTGGTTTGTTAAGATGTTGCAGGGACACATTGTCTTTGGTTGAAAAGTGACCTGGCTTTGCACCAGAAGCTTGGCCCGGTAAGATTTCATTTTCCCCAGTTTGTTTAATTAACTTCGGTGGACTGATCTGCTTTGACACATTGCTCTCAGGAGCTGCGTTTGTTGGTTCCGGAGTAGTGCTCAGGCTATACATTGGAGGTGTAACCTGTTTTGATGTTTCATTTAGTAATGGCGTTACAGACTTTGGTGCAACAGGTATATACGAGTTGTTCTTCAGAGCTTCAAATAATGTCTTTACAAATGACACTGTGTCTAAAATTCAAAGCAAGTGTGTTCAACACATCAATTTAGAGAACAGAAAAGACAATTTGACATGGAAATCTCTCAATGATACACACATCTATAAGCAAACCTACTCCTGCCTAAGAAAACTTCCAGTTGATCAATGCAAATTTCTTCAAGATCCCCCAACGGCTTGTCTTTTTTTAGTAACGCAACCACATATTTGGCAAGGGCTCCAGGATCAGCATCACATCTGTTGTGAAGCAATAAAATGAGACAAAGTATATTTGGATTCATAAAACAAAACCATCAGATAAAAAATCCTACAAAATACCTAAAATCTTTATGTAAACAAGGTAGTAATGATCTCGAGCTTTCAGCAAACAAATCATAAAAGTTTAAGTATAAATTATCAACGAAAAAGTGCAGAGTTTAGAAATCACATCATTCGTTTCCTTTTCCATGTGTAAAATATTTTTCCTTTCTTCTTGTCGTCACAGCAACAATAATTTATACATAGATGACATAATGACAAGACATGTGCTGCAAATGGCGAGTTGAAACTTGAATATCATAATACAAACCTCGGCAAAATTACACAAGGTTTCAAATAAGGTTTGTTAACTTTAGATTAAGGTCTCGTGCAGGGTGTGTGGAACTTCATACATTTATAAATATTTACTTATATCTTTGATGTGAAATATGTAACTTTAAGCCAAATTGATTCAAATGGATGTACTGCATGTTTCTTTTCCTGGATGAAAATTGGTTCAGCGATATATTATTTGGTGTCGAAATCCGATTTGCTGTGGGTCAGAGTTGCATGTTATTCACTGTTAATACGAGGGGCATAAAATGAACATCACATGGAAGAAAAAACTTATAGTTACATTTTTTCGAGTCGAGCAGTCAGCCAAATCTTTAAAGCGTCTAAATTCTTCAACAGCATTTTCGCACATAAGTTTCCAGACAATCAAGCCAATCAAACAAATGATAATCAGTTATGTATGTTGTGATTTAACGTTACAACAGATGGAATGGACCAACAATATCCAATCTTTTCAAGAGTTTCTGATGATCCACAGCTGCGACATCAAATGCTGAGTTCTTTATCATGAATTGAATTCAAAACGCATTTACAACGTAAATAAAATATTTATAAGCATATAAACATAAAATAAAATGGGTATCGAATCGAGCACATTGCCAGATGATTCGCCGCCATCATGGTCTTTTTATATTTCGTGATTTTCGTGAATTCGTGTACATCACGCGTGGACAACTAATATTGGCTGGCTTGACCACTGAACTTCACTTGAGAGTAAAATGGGTGTAAGGCAAATCGCAGTTAATAAGTTTAATGTTGTGACCAGCAACTATTAGACACGACACAGACTCTCGCATCTTTAATTGCTACATTCTTAAATTAATATTTTCTAACGCATTCTACCAGACTACAACTACCATGTTTAAAACAGCTAGAAGTAGATGTGCCTTGTAGTCTTGTACTAGCACGAGTCGATGTATTACTGGAAGTCGTGCAAGTACAAAGCACGACAGGTACACCTACGATTGAAGTGCATCCGTTGTACATTGGTGACGGATTGTTTGGTTTTTAATATTAAATACCATTGGACCTTTATGAACTTTTTCGGAGCAATATTTTGACTTTATTTTAAAGTCATCATCAAGCTAGGTGAATATTTACTAAGCATATAAGAGTTATAATGAAGACAGAGACTCTGCGACAGAATTATAATGAAAATACGCATGTAAATCGCCTCAGGGAAAACCAAAACATTAGGATTGTTATAATGAAGTGTTACAGGTCAGATTTGTCGGGATAGTAGTAAGAATTATAACGATCCAAATCTTTTGCTTTTCTATGAGGTGATTTACATAAGTTTCAATAAGGTCTTCCCTGGTCTGAAGGCTTCTGAAGAAAGAACTTGTCATTTATTTCCAAATCCCTTAGTCTAACTGCAAATAGTAACACCCATTATAACTCAAATCTTTAAAAGATGATATTGTTTGGAGTGTGCTTTATCATTTATTTCCTTAAATTTTCTGCTGGAAACGGTTTTTGTGAACCTATAACGGATGGGTGAGCCATCGACTTTTGAAGAATAAACTTCTCAACAATCAAATCCATAACACAAAAGTTATAGTTGTTTAACGACTATATGACCACTCTTGTAATTTTCTGAGAAATTAAATAACACTTTTAAGTTTTAGGAAAACTATGAAAGAAAAAGTCTTGCATAAGACATGTCGGATGAGTTGGTTTTGTTTCACTTAAAAAAAGTGTTGAAATTATTTGCTTTCATTGACTATACCCTTGTGAACTAGCATGCTAGCCGGCATGCCGATCGAAACACTTTTGAGCGATCGATTAACAAGGAGAACAAGGAATCGGAATTCGTTACTTTTAACGATGTTAAGCGATAATTTATCATGGTACTTCACTACTTCCACATAAATGAGCGATTTAATAAGACGTTAACATGCTTCAAACTAAAACATCTTTAAATATCTTCTCGTGTGATTTGACAGTACATCTCCGAACTTATAAGTTTGACATATCAAGATACAAAATCTGTTTGTTCTTCATCAAAGACTTTAAACTGCAAACAATTGGCAGGCATGCACTCAAGGTAAGGTAACTCTCGTCTGAATTCAACCCAACTCTCCTCAACTCTATTATATCTCCGTGCCTTCCATGCAAAAATTTTCTAAAGCTGAAAAATCAAATTTACGGGCTGTGTATAGCAAATCAATGCATTCGATAAAAAGTATTGAAAATACGATTGTATACAATGTAATCTAGCAAATGCATCTACTTTTTGTACGGACCCCATGTTTGGCATATATTAGCGTTGTGTACTTTTCTCATACAACCCTTTACCTGGCGGGCCGCTAGTGTGGTCTGATTACTACGAACTGGGCCACCAACGCTTTTCATTTGCGTATTAAATTTACATGTTGAATGCAATACATATCGTAAATGGTTTGAGCCCGGGAGTATCGTTACATGTTTGTAAATGTAGATCGTCCAGGTTGGTATAGTCCTGAGAAGGACTGTTTTTGTTGTTTTTGACTGACGTCATTTGACTCTGAAGATGACTACAGCTAAGGTTGTCGAAACGTCACTCAACAACAACAAAAACAGTCCTTCTAAGGACTATACCAACCTGGACGATCTACATTTACAAACATGTAGCAATACATATCAATGGAAAATGCATATACAGGTGTAGGACAATAGTGGGGGTGGGAGACGTGTCATGCGAGACGCGCGATAACCAGATGTAATTCCTCAATCGGACGTAAATTGCTAAGAGGAAAACAAAAGTTCCCCACTCTTTTAAGAATGTGGGACATATTATGTAGCAAAGTAAAAATCAAAGTATTTACTCCTTTACATAAAGAAGCCTGTACAAGAGCATTTTCCTCAACTCTCATAAAACTGTTTGCACCTTTAATCAGTGGATACTGGATAAGATTGAAATATATTACAATGTACAATGTCCACCGATCAAGACCCTCGGATAAAGATTTTGGTGTTTGAGTACATTATTTCTAGTTGTACCTTCTTCAAGAAATCTATTCACGTTTTTAAGACGTTAATGAGAAAACGATTTGCTAATATTGCTTGCTACATATTAAACAATGGTCGTTATAGATGCTTTTACAAAAGGTGTTATCTTTCAATATGACTTCGCTTCTATTCAACTTTTTAATGCACTTTTCTGCGTCGATCACCCTTACCACAAACGTCTTTTCTTTGATCATTTCGTAAAGACTGTTGTTCCCACTTAGCATTCTAGCTGTTGTGGAATGAAACTGATCTTGTTGCGCAATTTTGATAGAATTTCTTGTCGCCGCATTTTTTTGCCAATCCTGCCAAACCTAAGTAGAGAACGAAACAACTTGTAAATCAATTGACTGTCCAGGCATCTACTCGCAGTTATTGAAATTATTCAATGGATCATTTTTACCTAATAAGGCCTGTTTCAAACTTGGAATTTTACATGCACCGAATGCATTAAAGATAAAAGAAAATGCGATAAAATTCTTCATTATCTTTTTATTTAAATGCATTCGGCTCATGTAAAATGCTACGTTTGAAACGGGCCTAAAAGTAAAGTTGATGCAAGTTCGGAACCAGCTTCCATGTGAAAATGAACACGAACGAAAAAACTTGCAAATGAAGTTTGTTTAACGAGAAAATTTTGAGGTCTCGAAAAAGATTACTACCTCGCATTAATGCATGCTACTATTTCAAAAGCCGAAAGATCTATATACAGACATCATTAATTGCATGCAACTAAAATAGTAATGTTCTTAAAAGACACACAAACCTTAGATATTAAAGTGTCTCTTTCTCCGGGGCTCATTTCCTTGCTATAAATTCGTGAAAATCCCTGTAGAATATCGTGAAGAAAAGTATGGCCTTTTTCAAACGAGAGAATCCACGTCACTACGTTTGACTTTTCGTCCAGGCTGATTTTGTTAACATTTCCAAGGGACTTTATAAAGGGTTTTAACACAATTGTGTCATCTTGCAAGAACGTTCCGCCAAATTGATACAACAGCAGTAACCTAAAGACCCCAAGCCGTTTTAAAGTCCTGGATTTGGCGGCACTAACAAAATCGGGAGCGTGGATATTTTTCAAAGGCGTGTTTCCAATCAAACCATCTATTTTGTATCTCTTTACTGTAATTTGATAGCCGACCTCTGTCAGAAAGTCAAATGACTTCTGTTCTAGTGTGTTGCTGTGTATATACAATCGCGCAGTTGGGTGATGACGCAATACAGACTCCACGCAACGCCACTGATACCAACTTAAGACGTAATAATCGCTTCGCTTTTTGCTTCCGCGCGCATTAAGAATGAGATGAAATATATGAGATTGACCTTCCGCATTCATCATCCATTTTGGAGTAAGCGGTAGCATTCCGAAGCGGAGCGCAGTTTCGTAGAAGACATCCTTTTGGCGAATTATATACCACATAGATGACATCATTCTCATACGAGTGGCAAAATCTGGATTTTTCGGGGGTTGGGACCAGTTGAAATCCTCGAGCTTCTTTTGCGCTTCTTCGCTCGTTATCCTAAAAAGATCAATCGTGTGAAACATGTTTGTGAGACCTTTCACTCGATCAGAAATCGTTTGATTCAATCCTCCTCCTCCGGGCAAATTTCTCCCGTTGAAAAAGATCACTGGCGTGCCCATGGCAACGCAAGGTAGAGCAGCATGTATTCTTTGGGTGATGACGAGCTTTGCTTGCGAGTAGATTTCCAACAGTTTATACGCATGTAAATAACGTCTTTTGGTCAACATGTTATAATTGATACCGTAATCTGCAGTATGGGATATAAATTTCGCTTTTTCACGTATATATTTTGGGAGAAGTGCGCGATGTTCTCTGTTTAAATCAACAACATAGATTACATCAGTTCTTTTCGTTTTCTCGCGTGGGCGTTTCAGAAATAACGTCATGCATCCAGAGAAAAATGAGCGAACGCCAATACTTGTCATGAACTTTTGTGTCCTCGTATCGCGGGCGCCGATCGGCTCTCTGGATTTGAGAAATTCGATCTTATGAGAAGATTTCCGAATGGCGTTTTGAAATCTCCCATCTGTATGAATAGACAACATGACAGGGTAAATATTTGATCGAGGCGGCCAATTATCACGGCCTTTCCCCCACCATGCGTTGAAAAACATCACGTGCTCACCGACGGTGGAGGGAGATAAGTTTCTATCCCTATCACGAAAGAAGTCGACGAACGGCAGGAACTGGAGGCCGGTAATTCCTTGAATTTCATCGCCTATATTTCCACGATTTCTTCTGCCAATTTGGCTATCGTATGATAGAATTCCGAAATGTTGGTCTCCATCATGAAGCGGGATTCCTTCTCGTTTATAAAGATCGCGCAAACTTTTACGATTCAAATATGCACACCAGTGCCTGTCAGTTTTGCAGTGTCCGCTTAAAGCGTTCCAGATGTTATTACTGAACATTGCTGTTAGATTGACAGAATTCCAGTTCTTCATTTCGGCAACAAATTCTTTCATTCTCTTAATGACAGTGACACTTCTGGGTGATAGTCTCTTGCTACGTTGCGACTGGACTTGTTCAGGCTTACTTTGCAACACAACACAGGGAAATAAATAATCCACCTCCTTTTTTTGATCGCTGTATTTTCTATACCGGGGAAAGAAAAAGATTCCACCGTATCGCCATAAGTGACCAAGACATATAGCTTGGGTTAGGTACCACTCAAAACGAACTCCCATCAATATCTTGTATAACGCATGACGTTCGACCCAGCCTTTGAGAGGAGTCTCACTTAACATGTCGGAAACAAGAAGAAACTTTCCTTCGATGAACGGATTTTTTAGACTGTCTATCTTTCTCACACATTTCATCGTCCCACAATACACATGCACAGGCTTTTTATTTTGGCTTTGCAGAGCTTTAATATCATCAATGAATAACCGAGACACAGCTTTATTGAATATCCAAGCAGTGGTAAGTTTATCGCGTGCGGCCGCCATGTTTGGTGTTTGGGGGAGAGTTTCTTCTTTAATTTCAACTTTCATAGTATTATGAACAATGGCAAAAAACAGGCAAACCAACGTTATAGCTTTTATGTTTGATTTTAGATAGCGTTTAGGATTGTTAAGTATTGTATTAAAGGCTCTTCGTATCCAGTCCTTGTCGCTTTGCTGATGAATGATATACAATGCTAGACCGGCAAATATAATTATTAGACCAATAACCATGTGCCAAGTCATTAGAAGCCTGAAGTACTTGATATTAAGTGTAATGACGAGTAAACGCTTGGAAAAGTTCAGGATGGAATGATTGAGTTGTGCGACAGATTGAAGGACCGAGATCGATGCCAGGTTGTATAATCCGTGAAATGTAGCGGATAGTATTCCATTATATGAAAATTCAAATGATTTTATTCCCAGGAGGAATTTTAAAAATAGGAGAGGGAAAAGCCCAAGTGTACCATAAAATGACAAATTTAAGTACTTTTCAAATGGACCATCGTACATCGATGCTCTCTTCAAAGCGATGTTTCGAAGTGGAAAGGCAATGTTTGATACAACGGCAGCTGCAATTCCGTAAATGTTAAACGTGATATCCCACATCACAAATAGCGCCGTTCCAAGTGACATGAGCACTATCGACATGAATACGTCAGCCGTCATGCGCTCCTTTCCGCTGTTTTTAGTTTGTTGCAAACAAAGAAGAAAGAAAAACGTAAACATTGGTTCGCAAGACTTAACCACCTGAGTGGCACTGGAGCTAACGAATGTATAGGATACATTGACAGCAAGATGGCCGACAATATTGCCAATGATAGCCAGAATACTATGATAACTGTTGACGTTCTTTAAGCTTAACGATCTACCCTGAAAGACGATTAATGAAAACGCGGAGAAAATGCAACCAAGAAACAACTGTAGGAATGTCAAGTCGAGCCATTTCATCTCAATCGTTGATTGCTCCTTATTCGACATTTCAATTTTGGAAAACACCGAAGTTAAGGCGTTCGCAACCCACCAAAAGATCACCAACACTGGTATTAGGAGATTGGCCATTCCTAAACTAAAAGTAACGTTATTGAGAAAACGCTTTGTCTAAGGGATCAATAGCATTGTTGCAAACTTCAAAAATTCATGACAGGACATTTTAGGTACACCGAAGTATGTTTAAGAGTTTTAGGGTAAGATTAATTCGCCACAATGCCATCATATTTGATATCATTAGTTTAAGTGATGTAAAGATAATTCAATAACTTAATGATGATGATATTGTAATAATAATTTCATCACAAGTCATTGTCTTTAACTTTTCAGGCTAGAATTGGAGTATTTGCCGTAATGAATTTGCCATAGGTCAAGCATGATCCTTCAATATCAAGGACCGCGGAAGATCGATAGTTGGGGGCTATTATTCATATATGCATTATATGCCGTATTTTCAACGGATTATGACATGCGTATATAAATACGAGCCAACAATTGTCAATCGCCCCGCGGTCCCTTAATATTACGAACTCAAGATCTTAGAATAGGCTCTTATAAAAAGGAAATAATTGAAATTGGCGTTGGCAGCCCGCACATTAGATCCTGCTATGCGAATTTTTCTGTGTTTACCCACTGCAAAAACAATACACTTCTAAAGAAATGAACAGTAATGCGTTGAAATTTACATAGCAGGACCAAAATTTGAAGAAAGCCATTGGAAAAACGAAGGTCAACCTCATCAAACACATTTCACTAGATCCAGGAAAAAAAATCGCCCAAATATGTAAATTAATATGTAATTTGCAAATTTGTTGTCTGTGTGTTTACGTGGCCATCGAGTTCCATAAACCTGCCAACGTTTAAATGTCAATAAATATCAAGTTAGATAAAACTTTCCTTCATTCAAAACGGGCAACGTATGTGTGGCGTTAGGTATATAGTAATTGTCACAAATAAAACAGATGTAAATATAAAAATTTAAATATATATGTAACATGACATTACACATAGGTATATGGTCGTATATTATAAAACACATGCGTGCACTGAGAGCATGCAGAAAATATGTCCGATCTTGTACTGTATAATAAAGCCTTACTCGTTACGTTATCTGAGTGACCTGAGTACTATCAAGAGAAAAAAGTTAGGAAATTTAGCAATAACATGGCAATACTTACTTGTATTGTACGTAATATAGTCCTTATACAGATGGATTCTGTATAAAATCCCTCACTGTCTGATATCTTCTCAATATTTAGCTCAACAATTTGAACAGTATTTAAAACACATTGAACATCGTCAAGTCTACATCGGCGATACATATAAACAACGAAATGAACTAACTATACGCCTATACTACCATTGACAAGTTGTATCAGTTTGTCTTGATGATGCATAAATAGCCGAGCTCTGTCTCGACTCGATAGGTTCACATACCACAAATGCAGACGAGCAGAAAAAATTATGCATGGCAAAGCCAAGCACCTGGCAAGAACAGTCATCAATATGATAGGGCAGCTATCCTCCTCCATCGTTTAAATGTCTTTTTAATGGAATAGCGCGTTAACACATGAAACTGGAACGTCCCGGTCATTAACACACGAAGTTTAAAATACTAGTCAAATTTCGAAAGAAAATCGCGTCGTCTAGGCAACTGCTTACCGGCTTAACATTCCTGATCACATAAGGTGGGAAATAACATCGTATCCAAAACGTTGAACTGTAAAAACTATGTACTTTGCATGCACTGCAGGTGAAGCATGTACATGATAATAATTGCCCTCTGTCGGGTAATACTTGTACCAACCACAAACAAATAAAACAAACAGAACAGGAAATTGAATATATCAATTAGCCGAACAGAATTCCTGCAGTTGCGAAGTGTTAATGGTATAACATTCTGCATAAGTATTTTAATCAAAAGTTTTCAGAAAACAGGAATATATTTATAAGTTTTAGTGACTCTTTAAGCAATATGAGGTAGTTGGTTGAGTAAAGCAGAAATTAATAAACTGTTTTCGAAAATCCACTGTTATTTTAAGAATTCTTTTGTGTTTAAGTGCAACTTATAAGTGTCCTCAAAATGCCGTAAATAATGATTTACAATTCTGAGAAATCAAAAATTTTCCCGGGGGGTGAACCATAAGATGCATAAAGACATAAAGATGCACATACGACATAAACAAACCTGGGTTTAACTCAACCCATCTCAAGAGGTAGGTTAAGTTTAACCCAGGTTTAATCCAGGTTGAATTTTTTGCGTGTAAACACTGCTAACCCAGGTTTAACCTAGGTTTAACTCAACCCACCTCAAGAGGTAGGTTAAGTTTAACCTAGGTTAAACCTGGGTTAGTTTATGTCGTGTGAATAGGACTTAAGATAATCTCAATCTCACTCCTTTGGTGCTCGGAGCTAGCAACCGGCCCACTTCGAAATCGGTAACTACGGATGTCAGTTTACTTGACCAATTGATTTAAAACACAAAACCGGTATGTGATTGTAAACTATCACAAATCAAATGACACTTTAATACGTAAAAAATTTGGGCAAGTTAACTACCGATCCCCTCCCCTCCCATTTGGTTTTAGTATGTGCAACAATACTAAAACCAAAGAATCATTTTTACATTCCGAGAATTTATAGAGCATATACTGGATGAATAAAGGACAGCTGTACAAGTTCGAAGGTCGTGACATGCAGTTTTCAAAATCCCAAAGGGCGAAGATATGACCTGTTTGAGTATTTGTCAAAAGACATAATGAAGCTTCCAGGAGACACCTTTTAAAGTAAAGTGATTTTAACATTTGAGAAGAACAGGAACGTACTTGAAAGTCAAAGTAAAACTAAACAACACTGCTAAAAGCTACACTAAAACTAAACTAAACAAAACAAAACAAAACATGCTTGATTCAAAAATAATAAAAACCATGCAGAACGTAAGGCCAGATTCATAGTCAATAAAATACAACAATTCCTGAATCATGGTCAGGAGGTGTTCGCATAGCGTGGCACCAATACTAAGAAGATATGAGTGTTAAAGAAATATGCTATCAATTAACAGACAATAAAAGACAAAGAAACAAAGACAGAGAAAAGGAAAACAACTTAACTCGTCAAAAGCGTTCAAATTGGCAAAAAATGTGCGAAAGAGAAAAGTTTCTCGTACGTCTTGTTGAAGTAACTAATAATGTTGAAGTAACTAATGTATATAATATCATGTGTATGTATATGGGGAAGGTTTCATTCCATAAAGGTTTACAAGTTTACTTTTACAAAAGTTCGCTTTCCTACTGCAACTTACAAAATCGAGGCAAACATCCGCAAAGTAGTAGCTAACCAAAGTTCTTTGCAATCATGCTTTGGAAAATTTCATGAAGACAAACCCATCGATGTTTTATTCATATATATGTAGAATTTGTTGAATATTTAAAAAATCCTGTCTTTTTTGTCCATTCATTTTAAAGCCATTTCCTTAGCTTGACAAACGACACGATTTTCGTAATCAGAGGGACTGTTGCTAAAACAAAAGAAATTCCTCTGTAATGTACGTTGCAATCGCTTCATATTTTAGAGTACTTGCTGCAGATAAATAAAAATACACGGTAAATTCAGCAGTATAGGCACAAGAGCTGACTTCTTTGGGCTTTCTTCTGTTTAGGCTTTTTTGTGGGAGTTGTCGGTAGAAATTCTAAAATTTCTCATAACTGACAGGTGCACGGGAGTACGTATGTTTGCTGACTTATTTCACACTTGATTGGCACACTGATCGTTTCCGATGGGTTGGTTTTTCTTGCAGTGGTCATGGAGAGCGGGCAGTAGCAGTGAGGTTGTGCTACATGTAAATTTCAAATTGTTTATGGTACTCCATTTTTTTTTACGGGGAATAAACACTGCGAAATATTTACGCAAAATGAGTAAACTTGCTGGCTGGCTGAGCAAAAGAATGGTGGAAGATGCCTATTTCTAAAATCACTTCCACCGCACCAGTCGTTGTCGACAAAACAAAACAATTGCAAAAATTTTATCGTCAGACAGTACCAAGAAATGTTTTTGAAAAATACATATGAAAGACACTTACAAATACACTGCGGACGCTTCAGCCTGAGCAGGGTTGTCAAAATTGGGATCGCTCAAAAGCAACTGAATACCCACCAAGACCTAAAGGGTAAAAGCATGTATTACGTTTCTTCTTTTGATGCATTGGTAGCTACTTTGAGACATCTATAGTTTGTTTCGGAAAATAAGTAAAAATGTACTGAATATCCGTAGCTACAATGTAGAAAAGTAACGTAACTAAAAAATCATCACCTCCTTCAGGGTCGTCTGTGGTTTCCATCCATGCTCCTTATCAATGAGAGAAAGGCTAACGGTTCCGGATGGAAAAACATTTGGATGAAAGATAGGAGGACAAAACTTGCCTATAAATATCGATTAATTGTCGAGTTCACCTGGTTTTTGAAATGAATTTTGAATATTTGTCCGAATGGACGTTCCGAACGTTTATTTCAATGTTTTGGCATTTGGTTTAGCTTTGTTTTGACCCGCTCTTCTTAGTGCCATTAGTAATGCATATGTAGGTAGTATACATACATCATACATTGGCATTAATTTTTTAGAAGTACTATAAGCTAAAATTGAAAGTGCGTAAGATTTTCAAAAGGAGACGAAGCCCGTCAAATTTCCAAAACGTTGAACAAAATTTCCATATTTTTTCTGCTAAATTGAAAGATTCAATCATTACTCCTACTACAACTTAACTTAATGAGTCATATAGAGCGGTAAATTTGATAAATCATTACGAGCTTTCATACTTTTTATAACATACAATAATAGGTCAAAAATTTCACCTTTTGAGCTTAAAGCTATACCTCAATTAAATAGCAAATTGTACAAAGAAACAGACAACATGTGCTTTCATACTTGTTATAACATAAAATAATAAGTCAATAATTTTATCTTTTGAGGCTAAAGCTCTAACTTAAATAGCCAAATGAACAGAGAGACAGACAACATAACTTGCAATAAACCTATTCAACTTCTTTGGCACATACACTGCTTACATTTTGGTGGCGAATATGGATAATCATTGGGAAAATTGACTGTAAGCTTGTAAGACCCTCCAGCCCATGGGGTCTACATAAAAAGAATATTTAGCAGTTAATAGAATGGGAAAATGGTGTAATTTTGTCACCTTTTGCATTTTCAATAATAATATTGGTATGGGAAATGGTAAAATTCATTTAAAATTGTTCGAACCATGTGCAAAGATTGTACCTTGTCCATCCCTGGGATTGCTATAAAAAAGTTTTCAATTAAAATTTTAGAGTTTCCAGTAAAAATTACATTGAAGATAATTTTCAGAAAAGTTTAAATAAATAGTATAGACATATATTAAACTCAAAAATAAGCTGATAACTTGAATTTTTAATTGCAAATGGCAGATTTCACAAACATAGAGAACTTTGATGTACTTATTAAAATTAAGAAATCCTCAAGTTTTTGTTAATCCTCAATTATTTGATACATGGCAAAAACATTTCTCACCACATTTCCAGTGAAGTAAATCTAGAATGCCTCCTTCATCTTTTTGTGGCTCAGCTATGAAGCCCTTTTCAAAGCAAAAGCCAAGATATAAACAACATGAAGACACGTGAAGAATATAGTTGACAAATCTTCATCAGTTCAACAATTTAAAACAATTTAACTACATGTTTAACAACACAACGCATTAATGACTGTGTCATATCATAAGGTTCCACTCTGCACTTTAATATATTGAAGGGGCTTGTCCCAAAGGCAAAATATTTCCCCATAATATCCTACTCAGAACAAAAAATCAAAAAGATATAATACATATCTGCAAGGACAAGTACAGTACAACTATCAAATTGTCATTATTAAGTATGACAGTTACATTACCAAATGTGTGATTTGTGCTACTTAGGGGAAGATTTTTTGCCTATCATAATTTATTGTTGGGCTCAGTCCTCTCCCCTCACCCCTAGTGCCTCCCCATATTGTGATGTGATTATGTGACTTTGGGAAAAAAGTGCATTTTGGATCCCACTAATGATCAACAAAAGAAACATTTCTTTGGTCAATAAGCACCAAAGAAGACTGGATGATAATCCTTCGATAGACAAAATCAAAATCAAAGTTTGCAGATTTTCATTAAAATGACAATTTCTTTGGTTAAAATAAAAACCAGAGTAAAGCATTATATTACAAACACTAATATTTCAAAAAATTTGCAAATCCACAGTTACGTTAGACGTTATACGTGAAAACTGAAAACATACTATCTCTATCTGTCCTTAAATAAAATACCTTTGGATGGTGCACCTTCCAAACCTTATATTCTTCGGACAAACGTTCTTTTGCATCTACCAAAGGGCTGCTCGACGCCATAATTTTGTTCCAACGAATTTTTTATACACAAGCACACACGGTTGTTTAATTAATACTCTAATTTAAACCAAGCAATGTATTGACAATTTTACAAACGACAAACAACACCAGTGGTGACACACCGAAGTCACACCATTGCACTTGCACACGTGTTTGCCTGTTTGGTGTTGTAATAGAAATGTGTCAGTTAATATAAGAGTGAACTTGGTGTAAGGCTGCATCCACAAATCAACATCCGGGATTTTATTTAGAGATATCGTTACTTTTCGAAAAAGAATTGTGAAATTTCATTGTTTATTTATCTGGTTCAATACAAAAAATCGATTACTTACAATTTTCATTGCTAAATACTCAGGTTTCGTTACTCAATCACGAGCAATCTGCATTTTGTCCCCCCAAAGAAAATTGTTTCCGGGGGCCATGTTTCCTAAGATATCTGCCGCCCCCCTTAGGACCCTAACAAAATTTTAATTTTATCTCAAAAAAAACAGTGAAACTTTTTCAAAACCAAAATTCCAAGATATTACAATTCATTAAGATCTATAAATTTAGTCAAATGTTATCAAACCATTCAGCATAACTATCACACTTTGGTGATGACTCTGCGTTGCACGAAATGCTATTTTTCACGCGTGTAATAAAGAATAAGAGAAATGTTGAAACAATGACGTAGCAACCGGATTGTCAAGGAGGCCAAGGTCCATCCAACTTTGAAAACCAGACAAAAAGTGCCCTTTTTCTTTGAGTTGAAGTGTCCTTCTTCATTTGTGAAAAGGGGTTTTAATGAGCTCTATGTTGAGAGAAAATGCCCTCATTCTAAGCAAATGCAGCAATTCAATTCAAATTTAAATCAACATAAAAAACGTGCATTCACCGCAAAAATTATACCACTGCTAGTATAGCGAAGCCAATACTTCGTCCCACAAAGAAAAAGGAGCGATTGTTCATGGTTGTGAGCACAAATACTACTAATTTGGAATGTGAAGCAGTGGGATCAAGTTTTATTGTATAAGTAAAAATTTCACTTGTTTTGTACAAAGAACGCTAAGTGAACAGGTATTAAGTTTGAAGTTGTGTTTATAGTGGGATGATTCTGTGATGGTAAGAACGTGCTTTAGATAGGATAGTTAGATGACCTAATCAAGGTAAAAGAATTCCAGAAAAAGAGTGGGCCACTTCTGTATTCTTGGATTGCATCAAACCAACAATGTGGCTCGCCCACGCCGGCTGGTGCCAATAATGGCATTAACAAAATATTCTTTTGTATTGAAACACCAACATGACTGTCGTGACGTAACATGCACACCAGGAATCACAACAACACGCAACATAATCTTGAGAGAAATCACTGGAAAGAACTTTTTTCAATGGTGCAAACTGATAATGCATTGAAGAATCATCAAAATTGTGTATGTATAAAAGGACGACAAGGTTTCTTTAGTGTCATAGAAACTCAATATCCCCACTGATTGGCCCTGCATGAAAGGCATTTAATCACTTCCTTATAACTATCATGTGCTCCATTGAAAAACAGTATGTAATACTTTGCTCGAGATGAACAAACAATTAAAAGATTCGATTTGTAATAAGACATATACAGAAAAATTTTTTGAAACAGAATGCAGATTAAGGTCAAAATTTAAACTATAAAGAGCTATGATACTGGTGTCTATGAATCATTAGCATGGTACACCAAAAAAACACATGTCAACGTCAAATAGCTTTTCACCAGCAAGTGCCCTTGAAGTTTAAGGCCCCTCGAACTTAAAGTACTTCCTACGCCACTGTGGTGAAATTTTTTTTTAAAACCTAGATCACAAGTGATCTAAGATATTGCAATCTATACAAACATATAAGTTTTAATTATTCAAATATTATCACACCAGTCAGAAAAACAATCACACATTGGCGATGACGTCATGCGTAGGCAAAAATTTCTTTATTTAGGCGTCTAACAAGGAGCAGGTGGCTGTAAAATTAGTGACTCAGAAAAACAATCCGCAAACATGCAAAGGATCGAATGAATGACACCAAAACGTTTCACAAAGACAGTCTGCATTGCAAAACATTCAGCAAGTTATCTTCGCGTTCCCTCCTGTTTCAAAAACTGCTTCAGTAGACAGTCGACACTAACAATGAACTACTTTGCAACTTATGTGCTCAAACGAAATAAAAGGAACTAACCAGCTTTGGTAAATATTCACTTAGTTATTTAAAATAAGAAACACAAAGTTTTTACCTTTAAATTTTGTATTACGTCTTTCAATTGAGGGAGAGAAAATTTATGGGCGGAGGGTCATATTTCCTGTGACAGTGGTCTAAATGCATCCTTTCCTTGCTTCAGCTTATCACCATGACGACAAATTTTTGATTAAAAAAGCTTGAATGGTTGTGGTTTTGATTGTCATTTCATTGATATTCATTATTGCAGCAAGAGGTCTAATTAAGTTCAGTGATTTTTTAATTTGGCAAATATATTGACCATCGATTAAATTCTTCAGTCGGAAAATATACTCATGTACTCATTTTCGATAATTTTTTTTAAAGAATTATATCGATGAGAAGCAAAACTTTAATCGACACTTTTTTTGAAAGGGATGTAAAACGTGTACTCTTGAACTCGGTTCAGTGTAATTGAGCATTCAATAAGTTTGATAATCAGTGGCGTAGCTAGAGGTCGTGTTCTATGATTATGACACAACAAACGTTCTTCAATTGTTACGTTTCTCATAACAAGAGATAGCGAACATTAAACTAGTCAGCAATTGAAATAAAGTAAATAATATATTTTAATTGATATGGAAGAGTTCAATACAACTTTTCTGAGACACTGACAAGGTCACACGACTGCATTCGAATGACCTTTGCTTCAATATGTATCTAACCAGAATACCTCCGGAATGAATTTGTCAGTCTCCTTTTGTACTAAATCTTTACACCATGCATTGCAAATCTACAACAAAAAATACATGAACAACAAGTTTGACGTCATGCTTCGCGGTTGGTGTATGTAAACTTCCTTAACGTCATTATAGGTTAAATAGCTCCTCTTGTCACATGACTCATAGTCATGCATATAACAAATTACCTGCTTGATAAAATCATTCTTCGAGTGAACTTCCAAAGATAACGTTTCGTATAACTCACAAATTCTCAGGATGATGCGAATACGAACGGTAAACAAAACATTGACGTTGCTTAAACACTTTTTTCAGATTACTCTGGCAAACGAAGGATGGAGACCTTGTGTAAACGATGTCGATTGTTTCTTAGAGCACGAGAAAGCTTGGTTTTATGTTGTGGAGTTCCAAAGGAAACCTTTCGCAACAATGTCTGTTGTAAAATATGGCTCAGAAGTTAACCAAGTTGGATCTTTAATCATCCCAAAAGATTTTCGAAACCTGGGTTACGGCAAACGTATTTTTCAAGCAATATGGCAACGCCATAATGAGTCATCGGCCATTAACAAGGTGTGGTACGCAACAGGTTTAATGGCTAAATTCTATAACAAGAATTACGGTGCGGTTTATCAATGGCCTGTTGATATTTATGATCTTAATGTGACAAGAAGTTTAGAAAAACTTCAAAGTTATTCAACGCATTTTCATTTAAATCAAATCAATGAAAATAACATAAATGACGTTATAGCTTATGACAACAAAGTGTTCGGATACCCACGAGAAAGATTTTTAAGAAAGTGGATAAGCTCACCTGGTACGCATGCTCGTGTAGCTTTCAGTAAAGATGGGAAGATTTTAGGCTACGTAGTTGTAAGATTGGCTTTCTTCCCCACAGAAGGTTACAAACTTGGTCCACTTTATTGCGACAACATCGAAGTAGGAAAATCCCTTATAAAAAGTGTTTTCAAAGATGTCCACGATCACGGCTTTTCACATTCAAATTCTGTCATTATCGACAGCCCAACGGGACGGAATCCGAAAGCAAAAGAATTGATGGAATCCCTCGAAGGTAAACATCTCGGATGTACGTACTATCAAACAACAAATGATCTCCCTAATTCATCTTTCAATCAGTGGTTCGCTCTTTTGTCATCGTTATTCGGTTAAGTTTTGATGAGATAAACAATCAAGTGGAAGATACTGTTTTCGAGCGAGAACATTGTATATTTGATAACACTAGAAACCTTAATAATAGATGCAAAAGTAAGATATATATGTATAATGCAGTTAGGTTAATCTTGAAGCTCATTCCAAAGCCACATTATTAAATATACAAGAGGCATGTCCTCCAGTACATTCTATACGAAAAATGCGAATTAAAAAGTTCACGTCTCCGGAACAGATATTCCCTTTGTTCTGGTGAAAAGCCAGTGTGCACGGTAGTGAATTTTAACTTTGGCAAACATGATCTTACTTGCCAATTGCAATTTTTTTCAATTCTTTTTGTGTGGCTGACAAATTCTGGAAAGGAAACGATGATGAAGGAAAAGAGCACGTTTGAAACCAAACATTGTGAATCTAAATAACAAATATAACACATTTCTCGTGTATATTCTTTTATTTTCAATCAACTGAATATAAGATTTGACGTTCTTCCAATTTATTCCATTTCTTCATTGACATTGATGTTTGTCATGTTTTTTCAGTTCGGCTGCGGGGTTGCCTTTACATCTAACGAGATAAATTACCGTTCGACCTCATTCAAGTTTTCATTTTGTGGTCCCTTCCATTTCAGCCGAACAAACACCTCATTATATATTTCATAATATATTTTTAACATTCTTACATTAAGTTTAACTGTAGAGAAGTCAAATCAAACAGCTATCTTCTTTTTGTTGGCATAAACATTCTTCTGAAAATGGTATTTTTGAGACTTTTGAGACCTCTATCATAAGCCTTTTTACAAACTTCCATTCATCGCATTATTATGCAAGCGCGTCTCATCTCAATAATATGAATCCAGGATTCATATTGATATTTCTCTGATGATGACTTTGGAGTACAGTCTCATCTGCTGTCCATATAATCGTTCACTGCATACGCACCTTCCATGGTTGTTTTTGGATAAAAGCTTTCAAATTAAAAATATTCGATCCCTCGTTTAGTATGTATATTGCCTTTTAATGTGCTTCTACACTGTCATGCAGAATATTGTGGAACTCCTTATAAATGATTTTAGGTTTTGTGTAATTTAGATTGCATGACTGGGAAAGAACTATTTAAATTAACACTATTGTAAATAAGAGCTTTACGTGCAGAAATTTTAGATATCAGTTCCGTTAGGTATAGTATGCACTCAAAACTTCCTGGTGATTCACCCGCAGGTTCCTAATTAAGGGTTTGATGTACGAAACAATTAGTAAAAATAGATGTAAATAATTTGATGTAGTAGATTTTGTAGCAAGACTTTGTGAGTGACTTCATTAAATGTGTTGAAAGATACAGTCCCCAAAGTGTGGTTGAACCAGCAACTGGAAAGCTGAGAGGAGTTTTCCAACACAAAATGGTAACGGTAGACATTAAATGTGCAATTTTGAAAATATAAAACATTTTCAACTAAAATGGGAATGGAATTAGCTACTTCTGTGGAAAATTACATAAAACACGCTCACATTTTAAAGTTTTTGAAACTATATTGTAAGCTCAAATACGGTCAAACGCTACACATGCTTTCAGATATTATCATTTTGTTTTGTAGCCTGGCGTATGATCTTTAGAAAGAGTAGTAAATTATTTTCCAACTTTTTTGTTAACTTCTTTCTATGCAACTAGCGCTAACAATCTCTTTGCCAGTGACTGTAGTCTATACAGACAATCATGTTTAAAATTAAATATGATCGTTCACCAATTAACTTGCTGTCACAGTGACCAGCAAAAAGCCTTCCTCCAGAACATTGATCTTGTTGACGTCCAAGTCGATTTGTTCAAACAATGTAAAATTTGATGGCCAGTTTTAAAATCTAATCAGGAATCGGGAAAGCCTGAGAAAGAAAACAAATGGGAGGATGGCTTGAAACTTGTAAGTATCATATTTTGACGTCTTGCCCCAACATGTAGCTGTGGTCATTTGCATTACCAAATGCATCACAATAAGATTTTAGAGATAAGAGCTTATTTGTTTCAGAATAGGATATTTCTGGTTTTTGCATGTTCTGATGAATATTGCACGAGAATCCAATGTGCATCAAAGAAAATGACATTTAACATTGTAGCAGCGCAACTATATATTCATATATAGCTAAGATATACTTACAATGAACTTTATTTACATCAATAATTCATACCTATACAGCACAAGTTCTTTTTCAGCAGTTTATTGACAACGAATTTATATCATACCCATTTTCGTGTCATGATATTGGCATTTCCTGATTTCCATCGATACATTTGCATGAAAGTTGTAAACGTTAAAAAATGACGTCTGGTGAATGTTTTCTAAAACATATGTGTCTTCACGAAACATGATAATAATTAGAACAACTTAAATATATATGGTGAAGGCAATCAGTGTTTACTGAATGTGGAGAGTGGATATCATGTTATTCGTTTCATATAACAATTCATCTAAGCGCAAGATGATCAGTTTACGAATGCTAAAAAAACATCGACGTTACTTAAACATTTTACCAGATTACTCTGACAAACGAAGGATGGGGACCTTGTATAGATGATGTTGAATGCCCATTAGAACACAAACAAGCCTCGCTGTATGTTGCGGAGTCACAAAAAAACCCTTTGCAACATTGTCAGCCCTAAAATATGGCTCAAGCTTTTTACAATTGGGTTCTTTCATTCTCCACGATAACTATCGAAACCTGGGCTTCGGGAGGCATATTCCTAAAGCTATACTGGAACAAGATGATGAAGAGCCGGTAAGTACAATAAAAGTGTGATACGCTGCAGCTTCACAAGTAGAGTTCCTAAGAAAAATGTTTGGTGCTGTTTGTCAATGGCCAGTTGGCATTTACGATCTCAATACAACAAGAAGTTTAGATAAATTTCAAGGTTATTCAAGCCACTTTTAGGTGAATCAAATCAATAAAAATAAAAAACATGACGTGTTAGTTTATGACAGCATAGTGTTCGGATACAAACGAGCAAACTTTTGAGAATGTGGTTAGGTTCAACGGGTGGCATGCCCGAGTAGCTTTCAATAAAGATGGAGAATTTTAGGCTACGTTTTTGTCATATTAGCTTTCTTTCATGACGAAGCTTACAAAATTGTTCTGAAGGTTACAAACTGCGAATACATTGAAGTAGTAAAATCCCTTATAAAAAGTGTTTTCAAAGATATCAACGATCACGGCTTTTCACAATCAAATTCTGTCATCGTCGACAGCCCAAAGGGACGGAATGCAAAAGCAAAAGAGTTGATGGAATTTCTAGATAGCAGATACCTTGGGGATATCTATTACTTAACAACAAACGGTCTCCCTAATGCATCTTTCCATCAATGGTTTGCTATTTTTTCACCTGCATACGGATAGAGTTTAAAAATTATATAAACAATCTTATGGAAGATCAAATTCTTGGACAAAAAGAACGATATCATTATACAACGAAATGTGATTAGAATGCGTCATATCATTTCAATTAAGGACATGAACATTTTTTGACAGTAAAGCTTGTTATAGCACACTGAATAATTACGCCTTTGTAATTTGTTTCAACATATCAATTGTAAATGAGAAGGAAGAAAAATTGTTACTATACTACAGTAAACGGCCTGTCATGAAATTCGTGTTTGTTGATCATTGCTTCTTTATTACCCCGCATGCGTCGTAGAGACAGCAAACATGATGGCCATGTGTTGTTCTTTTGTTAGAAAATGCTGATTCTTGTATTAGCCATGTGATGAGTTTATTTCTGTCTTCAAGAGATAGACCAATGAAGATTTAATCTCAATGATATTAGTGATTGCAAAGTAGTGGCAGGTAAGAGTGTAATCATACAGCACAAAATGGCAGTTTTTAGGATAGTTAAAGTTGTTAGGAAGATAAGGAGAACAAAGACAACATGCTCGATGAAAACCGAAAAAAACAATAATGAAAGAGACTTGTTGTGGAATAAAGATGTGCAGAAGTGTTTTCAGAGAAAAAGGTCGTAAAATTGCCAGAAAAAAGTGGGTTAACGAGAGGACTGAAGACAAGAGAGTAAGAAGGAGTGAAAGAAGAAACATGATAAGGTTAAATAAACGTGGTAAAGAAGGTGAAACAAAGGTGGTACGATGACTTGTATAATTAGTTTGGTAGGAAAAAAGAGAGAATGCCTTATACAGATTTGCAAGGTAGAGATATCAAGACACTTTAGAGAGTAGAAAGTGGAGAAATAAAGACAATAGATTAAGGCATCAAGGACGAGGGTTAAAAATTCATTTCAGATGCAAGAGATGTGATAAGAAGACAGAGAGAGTCAAAATGCGCGAGGACAAAAAAGTTCAAAGGTTCCGACGAGAGTGAGTACATTATATAATACCTATACTGTGATATTTATATGTAGCCAAGAAGTATTTAACTACAATAAACTTACATCAACAATACACACCTGTACAGCAACAGTTAAAACTCAGCAACTTTTTAAAATTCGACAAATATTGTTAAACGATAGTTTTTAACAAAGTACAAATGCACTTGTTTTTGGATTTGTCTTCTTCAATAGACGTCGAATTTACGTCATGCGCAACATCGCGTCTTGGAATTTGCGTTTCCAAGACGCTGTAAACGTTCATAATGACTTCCGGTCAAACCTTATCAAACACGTATGGTGTTTCAACAAACGTTATAAAATTATGAAAACAAAACTTGCCTTAAATATGTGGTCGAGGCATTCAATCTTTTAAAGCCAAAAACGGCGTTGAGGCCAGAATTTATTACAGAAAGCAAAATTGTCACAAGATTAGGAGACGATGCTGCTTTCACAATGGAATTATTATGCGAGAAAAATTAACGTGAACAAATCACATTTGTATTGTCCAGGCATTTATGAAGCTGAATTTAGACGTGAAGAAAAAAATTGCATTGTGTTATACAAAGAATCTATGCTGTGCATTTCAGTTTTCACATGCGTGTATCAATATGTTGTTATTTTTCTCACAGCAGTCTTTGTTACATAATAACAGCAGTCTTTGTTATATAAGCACAGCAGTCTCACAGCAGTCTTTGTTATATAAGGCTAAAGTGAAATCTTAAAAGGGCATGCAAACTAGACTTGCTCATTTAATGACATGACTACTTGAATATTTTTCTAATTGCACAGACATCATCCAATAACAGACAAGAAAAAATTGACATTTGTCTTTGCATATGATCAATATATTTACGGAAAATTTTTATCAATAATCTATAACCAGCATGGCAATTTTTAAATATGGCAAATATCGACCAACGACGAGAAGTTCTTCAGAAAACGTATACGAAAGTGCACTATTCTTCTTTAATTTTTGTCCACGTCATATAGAGGTCAAGCAGAACATCGATTACATTTGCATGAAAGTTGTAAACGTTAGTCATGACGTCTGATCAACGTTTTCTAAAACATATGCGTCTTCATGAAACAGTATTTGCTGTGGAAGGTGGATGTCAAGTTATTCGTTTCGTATAAGTATTCATATGTGCGCAAGATGATCAACTTACGAATGGTAAAGAGAACATCGACGTTACTTAAACACTTTTACCAGTTAACTTTGGCAAACGAAGGATGGAGACCTGGTATAAATGATGTTGATTGCCTATTAGAACACGAGCAAGCCTCGATATATGTTGTGGAGTCACAAAGAAACCTGTCGCAACAATTTCCGCAGTAAAATATGGCTCAAACGTTATGCATTTGGGATCTTTCATCATCCACAAAGAGTATCGAGATCTGGACTACGCCAAACGTATTTTACAAGTTATGAGAGAACGCCATGATGAAAAGCCAGCAAGTACAATAAAAGTGTGGTACGCTCTAGCTTCACACGTTGAATTTCAAAAGAAGATGTTTGGTGCTGTTTGTCAATGGCCAGTTGGCATTTACGATCTCAATGTAAGAAGAAGTTTAGACAAACTTCAAGGTTATTCAAGCCATTTTCAGTTGAATCATATCGATGTAAATAACATGCATGACGTGCTAGTTTATGACAATAAAGTGTTCGGATACAAACGAGCAAAACTCTTGAGAATGTGGTTAGGTTCACCTGGTACTCATGCCCAAGTAGCGTTTAGCCAAGATGGAAGAATTTTAGGCTACGTTGTTGTGAGATTAGCCTTCTTCCCTGAAGAAGGTTACAAACTTGGTCCACTTTATTGCGAAGACATCGAAGTAGGAAAATCCCTTATAAAAAGTGTTTTCGAAGATATCAACGATCACGGCTTTTCACGATCGAATTCTGTCATCGTTGACAGCCCAACGGGACGGAATGCAAAAGCAAAAGAGTTGATGGAATTTCTGGATGGTAAATATCTTGGGAATACCTATTATTCAACAACAAACCGTCTCCCTAATGCATCTTTCGATCAATGGTTTGCTATTTTTTCACCTGCATACGGATAGAGTTTAAAAATTATATAGACAATCTTATGGAAGATCAAATTCTTGGACAAAAAGAACGATATCATTATATAACGAAATGTGATTAGAATGCGTCATATCATTTCAAAAAAGGACATGAACATTTTTGACAGTAAAGCTTGTTATAGCACACTGAATAATTACGCCTTTGTAATTTGTATCAACATATCAATTGTAAATGAGAAGGGAAAAATTGTTACTATACTACAGTAAACGGCCTGTGATGAAATTCGTGTTTGTTGATCATTGCTTCTTTATTACCCGCATGCGTCGTAGAGACAGCAAACATGATGGCCATGTGTTGCTCTTTTGTTAGAAAAAGCCGATTCTTGTATTAGCCATGTGGTGAATTTATTTCTGTCTTGAAGAGATAGACATATGAAGATTTAATCTCAATGATATTAGTGATTGCAAAGTAGTGGCAGGTACATAGATATAGTAGGTCTAGATCGCTGACGAGTGTGACGTAATATAAGACTTATTAAGACGGCAGCGTGACATTCATGATAAATCCAAGATGGCGCGGGAACCGGGCAAAAAACTTAAGGCGAGTATTAGGCAATTGTTGTTTTTTGCAGTTTACTTCGTTTCAGTGTTTTCAAACTTCTCGAATCAAGTTTTATTGGAAACAAAGCGTTATTAATAATGTTTTGAAGCCATATTAGACAGTTATTATTCGAATACAGGCGAAAATATCGCTTGCGAAGTGTTGTGTAAATTGGTCGTTTGGTTGTCTCGAGGCGTTTGTCTACCAAACTAAACGGATTTCGTCTGCTTTAGTTCCCATAATTGTTCGTCCACATTGAAATACATGATATTGAATACATACAAAAAGATGGGAAAAGTAATCTTCATCGAAGGGCTTTATCTGCTGCTTTTACTACTTTTACCAATGAGGAGGATGGACTTGTAAGCTTGCCATAGGTCTTGAAAGATGTTAAGCTTGACTTTAATGAACCTTCATGACAGTATGAGTGGTCAGGTATGAGAGGTTGGTCATCATTCTCTATGGTTAAGGCAGTTGCACATTCAGCACACTTGATGCAACTTGTAATTTTCTTGGATATGTATCCACTGATATAGGTCAGTACATCATCATGCCAAAGAGTGGAACTGTTTAATAATGCTACAACTCTCCTATCAACATTTTGTGTCTCTTCAGCTAGCATGCTTTCACTTACAACAGAGCAGTTGGCAGTTGCTGGGGCTGTCATGTATTGAACAAAGAAATATCAGTAGTTTACTTATCTTTGTATGTAAGTGTCATAAAATGAACCAACTGAGCAGTATGATACAATTTTTGTCAGAAGTCATTAGTTGCATGTTAATAATGTGATGCAATTTAGACATTTGTAGTTATAAAATTGTATTGCCATTGGAAACAACTGGTATCATAGATGGTGTTGTAGCTATAGCATAATAAAAACATATACTATAACTAAGTATGATAAGCATAAAAGTCACATATATTTTATTCACAGCTATATCTTATAATAATCTCAGCCATAGCCAGCATTTTTATTTGCACATTCTATCTCAATCTTGCTGTACGTGTTTGAATCTCACATATCAGTACGAGTCAGGGATGGTTAAAGAAGGTTTTTTTGAAAAATTTTTTTCTTTATTCTTTAATTCAATTAAAGACAATTAAAGACAATTAAAGAAAACTTTTCGAGAAAACCACTAAAACTTTAACAAAATTTCCAACAAATTGTCAAGAAGGAAATATATATTCCAGAGCTAAATATTCAATAGTGCTAAAATGCAAATATGAAATATAAATTTTTTACTTTGTTCTGCCGCCATCTTGAGACTTTAACAAGTCACCAAGCTCTGTATTCTCATCAAGACAACCTCATATTACATAGTGAATGCACAAGTGAACCACGGAGAAAATACGCTGTTATTTAATATTTTAATGTGACATTGGATAAACACTATTTCAGACGTAAGAGCATAAATAAGGAACACTAAAGACAATTTTTAGTTTTGATTCAAATCTTTAATCATTAAAGAAGATTAAAGAAAAAATGATTAAAGAATAAATGCCATCCCTGGTACGAGTACAGTGGGAGTGCTTTCTCGAATAAGTCGCTTTTTTGTCAGAAATATTCAGATTGATTCCCCAATCTTTCTGTAAATTGTCAATATAACATATTCCGATGCGCCACAAATCAGTATGGGAGTTAAAGCTGAAAAAATCTGTTTCTCTTAGTGGACAAACGACTTGAGACAACATAACGACCAATTTACACAATATTTCGAAAGCGATATTTTCACCCGTATTTCAATTATAACTGTCCAATATGGTTTCAAAACACTTGAAATAAAGATTTGTTTCAATAAAACTTCATCGGAAGAGTTTGAAAACAATGAGAAGAAGTAAATTGCGAAAACATCAATTGCCCTATAGTGACTCTGTTTTTTGCCCGGTTCCCACGCCATCTTGTATTTATCATGGATGTCACGCAATATGGCGGCTCGTCAGTAATCTCTAGATATAATCTACTATATCTATGGGCAGGTAAGAGTGTAATCATACAGCACAAAATGGCAGTTTTTAGGATAGTTAAAGTTGTTAGGAAGATAAGGAGAACAAAGACAACATGCTCGATGAAAACCGAAAAAAACAATAATGAAAGAGACTTGTTGTGGAATAAAGATGTGCAGAAGTGTTTTCAGAGAAAAAGGTCGTAAAGTTGCCAGAAAAAAGTGGGTTAACGAGGGGACTGAAGACAAGAGAGTAAGAAGGAGTGAAAGAAGAAACATGATAAGGTTAAATAAACGTGGTAAAGAAGGTGAAACAAAGGTGGTACGATGACTTGTATAATTAGTTTGGTAGGAAAAAAGAGAGAATGCCTTATACAGATTCGCAAGGTAGAGATATCAAGACACTTTAGAGAGTAAAAAGTGGAGAAATAAAGACAAAAAAATGTTCAATGGATTAAGGTACCAAGGACAAGGGTTAAAAATTCATGTCAGATGTAAGAGATGTGATAAGAAGACAGAGAGAGTCACAAATTGTTTAAATACACCCGAGCAAAATTTTTGAGAATGTGATTAAGTTCACCTGGGACGCATGCCCGCGTAGCTTTTAATAAAGATGGAAGAATTTTAGGCTATGTTGTTGTCAGATTAGCTTTCTTTCATGAAGAAGGTTACAAACTTGGTCCACTTTATTCCAAAGGAATCGAAGAAGGAAAATCGCTTATTAGAGTGTTTTCAAGATTGTCTATAATCACAATAATCATAACGAACGGCAACTAAAAAATGCAAGAGCAAGAGCTGACATTGGGTTTCTTGATGGTAAATATCTTAGGTGTATGTATTACCACACAACAAACGGTCTTCCTAATTCATCTTTCGAGCAATGGTTTGTATGTAGTCTCCTGCATACAGACAAAGTTTAATGATTATATGTAAATTCTTACGGAAGATCGTGTTATGGAGCGATAAGACAATGAAAACAAAAACGTAATAAAAGAATGGGTCTCATTTTAAATAAATTATGAAAAGACAATGAAAATGTCGATATAAGTATAATGTAAACATAAATGTCTATATATTGATAATAAGAAGAAAATACACAAAAACTACAATTTCATCCCGACAAGCCTGTTTCGTGATTTCTCACTCTTCAGGGGATAATATTTAAATGAATACAAAAGCATGTGCTTGATTATAAGCTTGTGCTTGTCGGGATGAAATTGTAGTTTTTGTGTATTTTCTTATTATTATCAATATTTATGCTCTCCTCTTACGCATTGAGCACTGTACTTACGGAGATTCAAATAAACAAAACTTCCTAAATGTCTATATAAGTATAATGTCAATAATATCAAGACTTTGAAAAGAAATGTAATAATAGAATGGATCTCATTTTAAAAAACGATATAGACAGTTTAACTATTAAAGCTTGTTATTTGACACTGATTATTGTTCTTATAGTAATTATATGATCTCTCACGTGATCCTTTTCATGAGTCGTTTTAATTGAATAATAAAAAAATAATTTATGAACTCTTGAATTTTTACTCGAGCTACCAAAGTCGCCGTAGCCAGGCTTGTAGGTCTAAAACTATTTGATTTTAATCTGGAGCCAACATGGTTGTATTTATAAATTTCGTGGATTTTTAATGTCTGTATTTCAGACTGTACTTGTATCTTGATTGCTAATGTAGGTCTCATATGCTTTATGCGCTTTGTTCGTTTCCAATCTGCTTTGATAGACGAAAGTCGAAAACCAATAACCTTTCTAAGTGTTCTACAGTACCAGCATTGAAACCCTATAACAATTGCTGATTTTAAAAAATCCACTTTCTTACACGCTATTTTGATTTTCGATTTTCGATCGGCTTTATCTTTGTACAAGAACTACTTTGAGGATAATACTGCGTAGTTTCATCATAAGTGCTTGGAGAAAAATATGGAACTAAGAATAGAATTAAGCAATATATATCCTCAAAGCAGCTATTTTATTCAGCTAAAGCCAATCGGTGGACAAAAACGCAAAAATATCGACGTTTAATTGCAAAAATCACATTTCTGTAGTACAAATCTCAGCAATCTCACTCCTCTTTCCTTACTGCCAAAATGCGCGAGGACAAAAAGTACAAAGGTTCCGACGAGAGTGAGAATACTATATAATACCTATACTGTGATATTTATATGTAGCCAAGAAATATTTAGCTACAATAAACTTACATCAATAATACACACCTGTACAGCAACAGTTAAAACTCAGCAATTTTTTAAAATTTGACAAATATCGTTAAACGATAGTTTTTAAAAAAGTACAAATGCACTTGTTTTTGGATTTGTCTTCTTCAATAGACGTCGAATTTACGTCATGCGCAAAAATCGCGTCTTGGAGTTTGCGTTTCCAAGACGCTGTAAGCGTTCATAATGACGTCCGGTCAACTTTATCAAACACGTATGGTGTTTCAACAAGCGTTATAAAAATTATGAAAAACAAAACTTACCTTAAATATGTAGTCAAGGCATTCAGTCTTTTAAAGCCGAAAAACGGCGTCGAGGTCAGAATTTATTACAGAAAGTTTGCAGATGCAATCAATATTGCAATCAACTTATGCTATGAATATTGCACGAGCAAGCCATGTGCGACAAAAAATTTGACCTTTAACATTGCTGTTATATATTTATATATAGCCAAGACATATTTACAATAAACTTACATCAATAATCCACACCTATACAGTAACAGTTGTAACTCAGCAAATTTTAAAATTTGGCCAAGTATCGATAAGAGATGGTTAGTTTTTCAAAGAAACGTAAATGCACTTGGTTTTCAAATTTGACTTGTTTGTTTACGTTGAATTTATGTCACGTACGCAACATTATGTCACATGACATTTGCATTCCCAAAACGCTGTAAACGTCATAATGACGTCTGGTTAACGTTATTTATAAGTATGTTTTTTCACCAAACGCTATAACTATGTACAAACAAACTTTCCTTTTAAATGTGGTCGAAGCATTCAATCTTTCAAAGCCGAAAAACGGCGTTGAGGCCAGAATTTATTACAGAAAGCAAAATTGTCACAAGACTAGGAGACGATACTGCTTTCACAATGGAAATATCAAGCGATAAAAATAAGCGTGTACAAATCGCATTTGTATAGTCTAGGCATTTATGAAGTTTAACTTAGACGTGAGAAAAAATTGCATTGTGTTATACAAAGAATCTATGCTGTGCATTTCAGTTTTCACATGCGTCTGTCAATATGCTCGTTTAAAAACATGACTATTTGAACATTTTTCTCATTGCACGGACATTATCCAATAACAGACAAAAAAAAATTGACATTTGACTTTGCATATGAGCAATATATTTACGGAAAATTTTTATCAATAATCCATAACCAATATGGCAAATTTCAAATTTTAAAATCCACGTCATATAGAGGTCAAGCAGAACATCGATTACATTTGCATAGAATTTGTAAACGTTAGTCATGACGTCTGATCAACGTTTTCTAAAAGATATGCGTCTTCATGAAACATGATAGCCAAAAAAGAAGTCAAATACATGTGGTGGAAGCCTTTGCTGTGGACAGTCTTTGCTGTGGAAGGTGGATGTCAAGTTATTCGTTTCGTATAAGTATTCATATGTGCGCAAGATGATCAACTTACGAATGGTAAAGAGAACATCGACGTTACTTAAACACTTTTACCAGTTAACTTTGGCAAACGAAGGATGGAGACCTTGTATAAATGATGTTGATTGCCTATTAGAACACGAGCATGCCTCGATATATGTTGTGGAGTCACAAAAGAAACCTGTTGCAACAATTTCCGCAGTAAAATATGGCTCAAACGTTATGCATTTCGGCTCTTTCATCATCCACAAAGAGTATCGAAAACTGGGCTACTTTGAAAGTATTATACAAGTTATGAGAGAACGCCATGATGAAGAGCCAGGAAGTACAATAAAAGTGTGGTACGCTCTAGCTTCACACGTTGAATTTCTAAAAAGATGTTTGGTGCTGTTTGTCAATGGCCAGTTGGCATTTACGATCTCAATGTAAGAAGAAGTTTAGACAAACTTCAAGGTTATTCAAGCCATTTTCAGTTGAATCATATCGATGTAAATAACATGCACGACGTGCTCGTTTATGACAACAAAGTGTTCGGATACACACGAGAAAAACTTTTGAGAATGTGGTTAGGTTCGCCTGGTACGCATGCCCGAGTAGCGTTCAACAAAGATGGAAGAATTTTAGGCTACGTTGTTGTGAGATTAGCCTTCTTCCCTGAAGAAGGTTACAAACTTGGTCCACTTTATTGCGAAGACATCGAAGTAGGAAAATCCCTTATAAAAAGTGTCTTCGAAGATATCAACGATCACGGCTTTTCACGATCGAATTCTGTCATCGTCGACAGCCCAACGGGACGGAATGCAAAAGCAAAAGAGTTGATGGAATTTCTAGATGGTAGATACCTTGGGGATATCTATTACTTAACAACAAACGGTCTCCCTAATGCATCTTTCGATCAATGGTTTGCTATTTTTTCACCTGCATACGGATAGAGTTTAAAAATTATATAAACAATCTTATGGAAGATCAAATTCTTGGACAGAAAGAACGATATCATTATATAACGAAATGTGATTAGAATGCGTCATATCATTTCTATTAAGGACATGGACATTTTTGACAGTGAAGCTTGTTATAGCACACTGAATAATTACGCCTTTGTAATTTGTATCAACTTATCAATTGTAAATGAGAAGGAAGAAAAATTGATAGTATACTACAGCAAACGGCCTGTGATACAATTTAGTTTTTGTTGATCACTGTTTCTTTATTTCTCCGCATGCGTTGTAGAAACAACGACAATAATGGACATCTACTGTTCTTCTGTTAGAAAATTCCGATTCTTGTATTAGTCATGTGGCCACTTTCTGCCATTTTTGTTGCTAATTTTGACATTCGAATTATTAAGTACATCATGTGATTATTTTAAGCGCTTTTGTATTTTGAAGTGAATATTGGTTTTGTAGGGAACATAAGTTTACAAACATCGATCATTCGACTGCTACTAAAAGTAATTACGTACAACTTGGATCAAAGACTATAGAAAAAGACTTTCTTATGAAGACCTTAAGACTGACGTTAATGGCAACTCCCATTTTCAGGCAACTCTACATAATTTCAGCCACTAAAAATAATTTCAATTATAAATTGTAAATACAACTTAGAATTTATGGAATCTGCGTGTTGTGATTATTATTCTAAGTTAATATGACATCTTATATATTTATTTACAAACGCCCTCAATTTATATTTCAATTGGCTCATAATCTTCAATGATGGAACACATTTGACCTTTGTCAAACTCTCATACCTAGAAAGGATAATAGTTTGGCGATGTCCTTCCCAGGCCAAAATGCCGAAAGAGAGGAGAAGACGCATTCGCAGGCAGAAAAAGAAGAGGAGAGGCTAAAGTTTAGCATTGAGTGCAGGGCTTTAAACGATGGAGCTGTGAGACTAATTGGACTAGATGTAAAGGAGAAAAGTAGATATCTAATGAGTTTAAGAGACCTGGTGGAAAGACAACACGGATAGAATTTCGTAGAGCAGGATTCAAACTGTATTATTTTGCTGCCGATGGGAAGAGAAATGGAGTTGTATTTTTCGTGAAGAAGCAGCTTGTTAATATGTTCTAGAGGCTTGAAGTTAAAAATCAAAGGTGTAATATTTGATGTAGTAAGTGTTTATGGCCCACAGGTAATATGTGAATCAGAAGAGAATCCGAAGTTCTAGAGTGAGCTAGATGAAGTGATACAGAGCACCACTGGTGAGAGGTGGGTGATTGCTGACTTCAACGGGCATGTTTGTGCAGGAAACAGACGTTACGAACGAAGAAGAAATGGGCAGATTAGGTATTCATGATAGGGAAGCTAAAGGATAGAAGGTGGTCAAAAACAATGGAAAACGCTTTGGGTGAATATTTTTTCCTAGACGAGGCGGACCTATCAGACTAAGAAAAGAAATTTAATAATAGAATGGGTCTCATTTCAATTACGACATAGACTGTTTAACTAACTATAAAAGCTTGTTTGTGGACACTGATCTTATAGTAATTGTATAGTAAGTCTTCTCTCGCGTGATTCTTTTAATGAGAAGTTTTAAGTAACAAGACAGAATAAAAAATTGGTGAATTTCTGCTCGTGCTATCAAAGGTAAGTCGCCGTCGGCTTGTATAGTTCTAAAACTATTTGATTTAGCTGGAACCAACACGATTGCACATGTACATTTCATGGATTTTTCCACGCCTGTGCTTTCATGGTTAGGCTTATGCGCAATGCTGTTTGCAATCTACTTTGTTAGACGAAGGTCGATAACCGGTAACCTTTCTAACGGTCTAACCATAAGGGTTCTACAATGCGCTACTTAAACCATATAACAATAACTGATTTTAAAAAATCCGCTTTTTTACACCGAATTTACATGAAAACTTATCTGTGTGACAGAGAAATGAGATAAATTTATGAATTGATCGCTTATGTAATGCCTAACAAAGCCGCGAAACTACTTCTTCAGCTATCTTGAGAAGAAACAAAGGAAGTTATCGCGTCTATTTGTGCAATATTCGAGATAGCAATATCGCCTTCATGCACAGGGTGTTTTCACAATCAAAATGACCTTTCATGGATATTTGTCTCAGGCATGACATCTGAAGATAAATTAGCTTGCTTCCCTTTTATAGTGTACTGTGAACACATTTAAATGCTCGCGACAATATAGCGTACGTTATTTCAAGCCGCATCTTGCCTGAAGATACACGTGAAATATTTCGTTGCCAGATTGAATTAAGTCATTGGAAACAACAAGTACCGCAAAATAGTGAAAATATGTCGATGCGAATTTTTCTTTTATGTTTTGTTTTTGGAATGGCATACAGCTTTCGCCTCGTGACTGTAGAGAAAGGTAAGAATGAGCAACGGAAACGCTGCGCACGGGAATGGCCATGTTGATGAGATAACATAGATTACGCGAAAGCGTAGCCAGCCCGCAAAGGTTTAGTCCTGGTGTGTAAACTCCAGACCATTATAAATCATTCAATTCTTTCGGAATCTATTGTGTATTCACAGTGAGTAACACAAACATATTTACATACCAGCGCTAAAAAAGCGGGCTGGCTACGTCAACTTTTAGTAGCTAGTACAACAAGATGTATTGATAATTGATCAAAAATTCTCCAAAAAGCAATTAAGCTGCTGCACTTGATAACCATGACAATAGGTAGAAAACAAGAAACATGCATGGCCGTTGTCAAGAAAATCGTTACTATACAATATACATCATGCTTGAAAATGGGTTGCTAATGCGACAAATATTAACTGTTAAATCATAAATAATCAATTCTTAAAAGGCAAAAACAACATGCCATTGATAAAGGAAGGTAAAAAACCGGACTTGCTTTGCAGCTGATATATTTTCATGACTAATGATGGTCATAGGCAAAAGTGCAATGTTAGGAGGTTAGTTTTTAAAGGATTAGGGATTTGAAAATATCAAGCAATATTACGATTTTGGACTACAAAATATGACACTATATGCAATACTACCAAATTAATGTCATAGACAACACGAAACAGACAAGCATTAGAACAAACATGTAGCAACTTGCACGAGACTTTAGAGGTGTCTTTTTACTGGTTTCGTCAATATGCATATAATTGCTTTCTCTACCAGCGTTTTCATGGGCTTTCGAAATTGTAATAAAGTTTTATTTTTCTGGTATTTTTGATTTGTTGACTGCCTCAATATTTTTTACTGGAAAATATCGCAAAAATTAACATTCCGCGTGACGCTCTTAACGAGAAGTGTGAATTTAAATTTTACAGCATCGGGACCTTGCGTGAGAACACGCAAAAAATGTTGAAACTGGTGATGGAGGGCAACCTAGATGTCCACGTTCCTGTGTGCACACCAAATGGTTACTTTAAACCAGGATTTCGCTGCACCTGGTTTGCATGTTACTGCTACGATAAATATGGAAAAATTAACTTTAATGTTGATATATTCAGCTGTCGTCGCTCATATAATGTCTAAGACATTAAATGCTGTGCAATGTATATATGTATTTACGTGCTATATAAAGATTAAGACGTAACCATCTTATATACCAAAAGACGATCGACGCCATATTAATGAATATAACGGAAACTCGGGTGAAAATAAAACATGTCGATGATGAACTTCAAACAATAAACAGCTATACATAGTTTGTGGTTAAATTGTTGACCGTTATGATGAATGAAAACGATCATGTAGCTGACTGTTGCTCACATCATCAGATGGTAAAGAAACGGAGTCGCAGAACACTAGTGTTAACGAATAACGATTTAAGTGAACAACCTTACCCCCCGTAGGCATTCTTCAAAACACGTATATATGTGTTCATTTGATCTGAAATTCATTTGTAGTTTTAAAGGCAGCATAAGCAAGCAAACTTACTTCTAGTATACTGAAGGCGGTGAGACGAACGACATAATATCAAAGATAACTATACATTTTATTTCAACTTTTCGACTTATAAAAATGCTTACGTTATTTGGAGTTATTGCGTTGTTATGTATTTTATTAAAATACTCAGTGGTTCCCGAAATCAAAATCAACTAACTTATATCTGAAGTTACGGTAACGAGCACAAACTCAAAGTGAAATCTCAAGACAGAAATTATTAAATTTAATGCACAATCTAATCCTGCATAATTTGTTTTGCAAACATAATCAACAATTATTGCGCTGTTTCATCGATAATAAGGGTAGTAGGTGTTTAATCTTTTGAATATGTATGTGTGATATGTGAAATTTTTATTCTTGGGGAGGTCCATGTGGTCGAAAATAAAAATCATATTTTAAGATGGCGTCCAAATTAATACAATGGAAAATTCAAAAAACAGAAAAACGTATTGTTTCTCTACATATAACAATTTGCCAGCAAATTGCCTCGTGTGACACTTACGCCATATTGCATCGAGAAAAAAACAAGATTAAAATATTTTTGCAATCAACAAAAAATCTATTTTTCAATAACGAAGAATATAGTTCTACCATAATATGAATAAAACAATAGCAATTTGAATGTAAACGTTGTATGTTGCCATCCAAGAGATTTTGGCTTCCATTCGAGAAAAATTATTGCAAAAGCCGTGTCCTACACAGGTTTGTAGTCAAGCTTAGTCTCCAACTTCTTGTTGTCGGACACCTTTCGTACTGCTTTCATGAAATCTTCTTGAACTACAAAATCCCGCTCATCACGGATGGCGAACATTCCTAAGATTGACACATATTTTCAATTTAGATCGGTTTTGATATGCATGGGGACACAACACGCGAGGAATTTAACAGATGAAACTCCTAAACATCGGTTTGGAATACACGAAACGAAATTTATAAGTCATTCGTAGTTTGTCAAAAATCGTGGCCAGAGATTTGCTAGGCGGAAAGCGAATTTTCAATATCAAAATTACAACCCACTGAGCCCAACATACAACTTTTAATACAGCCATTCCATTACAAAGAACTAGATAAAAGGTTTTTATTGATGACGTCATCAATAAAATTTCATTCACCACAGCTCTTTATAATGGTTCCATTAACAGTTATGTTGGGCTTTAATATCAATACTCAATATTCGCAGTTTATGGGATATCCTAAAGATAATATTCCATTGCGCATGCCTTTTGCAAATGTACGTAGTGTGGTACGTAATTTAGGTGAATAGCAGTAAGGCCCAAGGTCCAATCAGCTTAGATATCTTGGCGGTCCAGTCAGATTATATATCTTGGCGGTCCAATCAGCTCGGATATCTTGGCGGTCCAATCAGCTTAGATATCTTGGCGGTCCAATCAGCTTAGATATCTTGGCGGTCATGCATTATAGGAGGACGAGGAGATAATTTTACGACAGGATGGGTATTCAAAGTCAACAAATTACATTGCGAGAAAAGGACATTTAAACCAAAGCTTCCCCGAGGCATTTTTCAAATGGTTTTCATAAGGTCGACCAACTCAAGGTCATGAAACTGTCTAACTAAACTAAGCTAAACAATAAAGTGCAAATAACACGCATACCCGATTCGGTGCAAACGTTTCGAAGATCTGCGCCATTAAAACCGTCCGACAGCTTTACGACAGCCTCATAATCTTAAAGAGACGATATTATGGTTAAAAACTATTTTTTTATTTACAGGCATCATAATTCAGAAAAAACAACACAGAAACAAAGACATACGAACTTTACCTATTTCTCCATGCTTAGTTATGGGGCCAGCATGAATTTTCAAAATGTCCATTCGAGCTTGCTCGTTTGGCAAAGAAATTTCTGAAAATATGAAAATAAATTGTATTCAAACGCTGAAGCCAGAACCGTAAAGAGAAATGTTCTATTCTCTGGTAAGCGGAGTGCGGACACATTTTCGGGTCCTTGACAAATTATTCCATCCCTTATATAATCTCTCACAAGCAGACACCTCCCGTAAGCGTACACCAAGTTGTGGTACCAGGGTGTCCGCAGACACCGTAAGCGTACACCAAGTTGTGGTACCAAGGGCGTCCGCAGACACCGTACACCAAGTTGTGGTACCAATGGTGTCTGCAGACACCTCCCGTAAGCATACACCAAGTTGTGGTACCAAGGGTGTCCGCAGACACCGTAAGTGTACACCAAGTTGTGGTACCAAGGGTGTCTGCAGACACCGTAAGCGTACACCAAGTTGTGGTACCAAGGGTGTCTGCAGACACCTCCCGTAAGCATACACCAAGTTGTGGTACCAAGGGTGTCCGCAGACACCGTAAGCGTACACCAAGTTGTGGTACCAAGGGTGTCCGCAGACACCTCCAGTAAGCGTACACCAAGTTGTGGTACCAAGGGTGTCAGCAGACATCGTAAGCGTACACCAAGTTGTGGTACCAAGGGTGTCCGCTTACGAGAAGTTAATCGCCAATAATCTTTACTTCCGTTTATTATACGACAAGCGTCACTTCCGGCAAAATGGCGCACTTTGATTGGCTCAGAAACATTTTTGGCGGTCCATTATTTTCCCGTAATCGACCACAGTCATAAACGCGTAATTTTACTGTCAAATGTGAACAAACTTCGTAATGCAAACAGCAAAACGCAAAATAAACGAAACAAAAAAACATTTAAGAATGTGATTCGAAGGAAAACACTTGGAACAGTTTGACTATCCAGACGATACTATTTGAAACGATTTATTTTTTATGGACGAAAACTAGAAAAGTGAAAGCCAACTTGGTGCACATAATGAGCGTAACTATTTTGCCTTGAGCGGAATACATGCCGTATAAACTTCTTACCAATTTTTCGATCGAGTCTTCCTGGACGTAACAAGGCGGGATCTAGAGTGTCTGGTCGATTTGTTGCCATGATCATTTTCACCTGAGCAACATTTTATGAAAAATTCAATAAAATAAAAACGCGTGCGGCGATTGGTCAATAGTTGTATTTACATTAGCCAGTGCAAACCGATCTGCCAGAATGAATCTGAGCTCAACACATCGATATTTTACATACTATTTAATTTATATTTTTGCTCCTCTAATGAGCAGTCCTACAGCTTATACGGAGTAGACAGTAAAAAGAAAACCAATTTTCAAAACAACTCAGGGCTTTCAATGGACACGTGTGAAGTCATCATGTACTGCGAGTCATCACATGAAGAATTTTTAACAACTTTTATGTACGCTATGAGCAAATAAACTTGCTTTCCATGATTGCGCATGCCTCGTCCTTTAAAAAACGTCAAACCAATTGCATGCACGGTTTTCACGTGACATGAAAAAAATCAAGAAAAAATTTTAAATTGTCATTTTACCTTGCCAAGCCGATCGAATCCATCCATTTGATTTAGCAACTAAGGAAAGCAAATACTTAACAATTAATAAACTACACGTACTTATCAAAGCCAGTGTGCACGGTAGTGAATATTAACTTTGGCAAACATGATCTTACTTGCCAATTGCAATTTTTCTCAATTCTTTTTGTGTGGCTGACAAATTCTGGAAAGTAAACGATGATGAAGGAAAAGAGCACGTTTGAAACCAAACATTGTGAATCTAAATAATAAATATAACACATTTCTCGTGTATATTCTTTTATTTTCGATCAACGGAATATAAGATTTGACGTTCTTCCAATTTATTCCATTTCTTCATTGACATTGATGTTTGTCGTGTTTTTCAGTTCGGCTGCGGGGTTGCCTTTACATCTAACGACGAGATAAATTACTGTTCGACCTCATTCAAGTTTTCATTTTGTGGTCACTTCCATTTCAGCCGAACAAACACCTCATTATATATTTCATAATATATTTTTAACATTCTTACATTACGTTTAACTGTAGAGAAGTCAAATCAAACAGCTATCTTCTTTTTGTTGGCATAAGCATTATTCTTAAAATGGTATTTTTTAAAATTTTAAGACCTCTATCATAAGCTTTTTTACAAACTTCCATTCATCGCATTACTATGCAAGCGCGTCTCATTCCAATAATATGAATCCAGGATTCATATTGATATTTCTCTGATGATGACTTTAGAATACAGTCTCATCTGCTGTCCATATAATCGTTCACTGCATACTCACCTTCCATGGTTGTTTTTGGATAAAAGCTTTCAAATTAAAAATATTCGATCCCTTGTTTAGTATGTATATTGCCTTTTAATGTGCTTTACAATAGAGTCACTGTCATGCAGAATATTGTGGAACTCCTTATAAATGATTTTAGGTTTTGTGTAATTTAGATTGCATGACTGGGAATGAACTATTTAAATTAACACTATTGTAAATAAGAGCTTTACGTGCAGAAATTTTAGATATCAGTTCCGTTAGGTATAGTATGCACTCAAAACTTCCTGGTGATTCACCCGCAGGTTCCTAATTAAGGGTTTGATGTACGAAACAATTAGTAAAAATAGATGTAAATAATTTGATGTAGTAGATTTTGTAGCAAGACTTTGTGAGTGACTTCATTAAATGTGTTGAAAGATACAGTCCCCAAAGTGTGGTTGAACCAGCAACTGGAAAGCTGAGAGGAGTTTTCCAACACAAAATGGTAACGGTAGACATTAAATGTGCAATTTTGAAAATATAAAACATTTTCAACTAAAATGGGAATGGAATTAGCTACTTCTGTGGAAAATTACATAAAAACACGCTCACATTTTAAAGTTTTTTGAAACTATATTGTAAGCTCAAATACGGTCAAACGCTACACATGCTTTCAGATATTATCATTTTTGTTTTTGTAGCCTGGCGTATGATCTTTAGAAAGAGTAGTAAATTATTTTCCAACTTTTTTGTTAACTTCTTTCTATGCAACTAGCGCTAACAATCTCTTTGCCAGTGACTGTAGTCTATACAGACAATCATGTTTAAAATTAAATATGATCGTTCACCAATTAACTTGCTGTCACAGTGACCAGCAAAAAGCCTTCCTCCAGAACATTGATCTTGTTGACGTCCAAGTCGATTTGTTCAAACAATGTAAAATTTGATGGCCAGTTTTAAAATCTAATCAGGAATCGGGAAAGCCTGAGAAAGAAAACAAATGGGAGGATGGCTTGAAACTTGTAAGTATCATATTTTGACGTCTTGCCCCAACATGTAGCTGTGGTCATTTGCATTACCAAATGCATCACAATAAGATTTTAGAGATAAGAGCTTATTTGTTTCAGAATAGGATATTTCTGGTTTTTTGCATGTTCTGATGAATATTGCACGAGAATCCAATGTGCATCAAAGAAAATGACATTTAACATTGTAGCAGCGCAACTATATATTCATATATAGCTAAGATATACTTACAATGAACTTTATTTACATCAATAATTCATACCTATACAGCACAAGTTCTTTTTCAGCAGTTTATTGACAACGAATTTATATCATACCCATTTTCGTGTCATGATATTGGCATTTCCTGATTTCCATCGATACATTTGCATGAAAGTTGTAAACGTTAAAAAATGACGTCTGGTGAATGTTTTCTAAAACATATGTGTCTTCACGAAACATGATAATAATTAGAACAACTTAAATATATATGGTGAAGGCAATCAGTGTTTACTGAATGTGGAGAGTGGATATCATGTTATTCGTTTCATATAACAATTCATCTAAGCGCAAGATGATCAGTTTACGAATGCTAAAAAAACATCGACGTTACTTAAACATTTTACCAGATTACTCTGACAAACGAAGGATGGGGACCTTGTATAGATGATGTTGAATGCCCATTAGAACACAAACAAGCCTCGCTGTATGTTGCGGAGTCACAAAAAAACCCTTTGCAACATTGTCAGCCCTAAAATATGGCTCAAGCTTTTTACAATTGGGTTCTTTCATTCTCCACGATAACTATCGAAACCTGGGCTTCGGGAGGCATATTCCTAAAGCTATACTGGAACAAGATGATGAAGAGCCGGTAAGTACAATAAAAGTGTGATACGCTGCAGCTTCACAAGTAGAGTTCCTAAGAAAAATGTTTGGTGCTGTTTGTCAATGGCCAGTTGGCATTTACGATCTCAATACAACAAGAAGTTTAGATAAATTTCAAGGTTATTCAAGCCACTTTTAGGTGAATCAAATCAATAAAAATAAAAAACATGACGTGTTAGTTTATGACAGCATAGTGTTCGGATACAAACGAGCAAAATTTTTGAGAATGTGGTTAGGTTCAACGGGTGGCATGCCCGAGTAGCTTTCAATAAAGATGGAGAATTTTTAGGCTACGTTGTTGTCATATTAGCTTTCTTTCATGACGAAGCTTACAAAATTGTTCTGAAGGTTACAAACTGCGAATACATTGAAGTAGTAAAATCTCTTATAAAAAGTGTTTTCAAAGATATCAACGATCACGGCTTTTCACAATCAAATTCTGTCATCGTCGACAGCCCAAAGGGACGGAATGCAAAAGCAAAAGAGTTGATGGAATTTCTGGATGGTAAATATCTTGGGAATACCTATTATTCAACAACAAACGATTTCCCTAATGCGTCTTTCCATCAATGGTTTGCTATTTTTTCACCTGCATACGGATAGAGTTTAAAAATTATATAAACAATCTTATGGAAGATCAAATTCTTGGACAAAAAGAACGATATCATTATACAACGAAATGTGATTAGAATGCGTCATATCATTTCAATTAAGGACATGAACATTTTTGACAGTAAAGCTTGTTATAGCACACTGAATAATTACGCCTTTGTAATTTGTTTCAACATATCAATTGTAAATGAGAAGGAAGAAAAATTGTTACTATACTACAGTAAACGGCCTGTCATGAAATTCGTGTTTGTTGATCATTGCTTCTTTATTACCCCGCATGCGTCGTAGAGACAGCAAACATGATGGCCATGTGTTGTTCTTTTGTTAGAAAATGCTGATTCTTGTATTAGCCATGTGATGAGTTTATTTCTGTCTTCAAGAGATAGACCAATGAAGATTTAATCTCAATGATATTAGTGATTGCAAAGTAGTGGCAGGTAAGAGTGTAATCACACAGCACAAAATGGCAGTTTTTAGGATAGTTAAAGTTGTTAGGAAGATAAGGAGAACAAAGACAACATGCTCGATGAAAACCGAAAAAAACAATAATGAAAGAGACTTGTTGTGGAATAAAGATGTGCAGAAGTGTTTTCAGAAAATAAGGTCGTAAAATTGCGAGAAAAAAGTGGGTTAACGAGAGGACTGAAGACAAGAGAGTAAGAAGGAGTGAAAGAAGAAACATGATAAGGTTAAATAAACGTGGTAAAGAAGGTGAAACAAAGGTGGTACGATGACTTGTATAATTAGTTTGGTAGGAAAAAAGAGAGAATGCCTTATACAGATTTGCAAGGTAGAGATATCAAGACACTTTAGAGAGTAGAAAGTGGAGAAATAAAGACAATAGATTAAGGCATCAAGGACGAGGGTTAAAAATTCATTTCAGATGCAAGAGATGTGATAAGAAGACAGAGAGAGTCAAAATGCGCGAGGACAAAAAGTTCAAAGGTTCCGACGAGAGTGAGTACATTATATAATACCTATACTGTGATATTTATATGTAGCCAAGAAGTATTTAACTACAATAAACTTACATCAACAATACACACCTGTACAGCAACAGTTAAAACTCAGCAACTTTTTAAAATTCGACAAATATTGTTAAACGATAGTTTTTAACAAAGTACAAATGCACTTGTTTTTGGATTTGTCTTCTTCAATAGACGTCGAATTTACGTCATGCGCAACATCGCGTCTTGGAATTTGCGTTTCCAAGACGCTGTAAACGTTCATAATGACTTCCGGTCAAACCTTATCAAACACGTATGGTGTTTCAACAAACGTTATAAAAATTATGAAAAACAAAACTTGCCTTAAATATGTGGTCGAGGCATTCAATCTTTTAAAGCCAAAAACGGCGTTGAGGCCAGAATTTATTACAGAAAGCAAAATTGTCACAAGATTAGGAGACGATGCTGCTTTCACAATGGAATTATTATGCGAGAAAAATTAACGTGAACAAATCACATTTGTATTGTCCAGGCATTTATGAAGCTGAATTTAGACGTGAAGAAAAAAATTGCATTGTGTTATACAAAGAATCTATGCTGTGCATTTCAGTTTTCACATGCGTGTATCAATATGTTGTTATTTTTCTCACAGCAGTCTTTGTTATATAATAACAGCAGTCTTTGTTATATAAGCACAGCAGTCTCACAGCAGTCTTTGTTATATAAGGCTAAAGTGAAATCTTAAAAGGGCATGCAAACTAGACTTGCTCATTTAATGACATGACTACTTGAATATTTTTCTAATTGCACAGACATCATCCAATAACAGACAAGAAAAATTGACATTTGTCT